GCAATTTTTGGGGGAAAAATGATCGATAAATCATGATAAATCCTGAATTTTCTCTAGTTTTCAATGTTATTTCATAATTGTTCTATTCACATTTCGGGACACTTACTGCAGGGTAAACTGACATAGATATGCAAAACCTATGGTTTCTCTCTGAAATGATCTATTTTCACTGGATTTCAATGGTGGATTTTCCAGATTTTCCACATCGGCAGCACGAAAAAGGGCATCCAAGAGGCGCATAGCAGACAAAGCCCATGCCCTTGCCACTTCCGTCGGGGTTGGTTTTCACTTGAACCTCTTGCAAAGCAAGCGAAAAGTGAAACTCGCCAAGTGCTGAGCCAAAGGAGTTGGTATGGCTTCCATAGATTTAATAAGGGTTCTATCTGGAGGGTATGGGATACAATGGGATATGATATGATAGGATATGAAAAACCTACAGGAAACCAACACATTCTCCCGGCCATTCGATGCCCATTGGAATACTCTAGTACAACAGTACAACTAGCTATGTGTTTGACTATCATCAACCAACTGGATAATTTGTTCCTCACTGTTTCATCCAAACTCAAATCGTAGCCTCCCCAAAAAAAGTTACCTGGGATATAATATGGGATATAATGTGGGCACATATATATATAATATATATTATATATATATATATATATAATTATATATATATAAATACAATGTTTTGATACCTGGTAGAACAAGTGGACATTGGATACCTGGGAACTATGAGCCCAACAATATCTATACCATCAGGAAATTCCTGGAAAAACATATGGCTCTGGCATGCTCTGGCTCTGGATCAAGATCCCACCAAAATCGCTGGGATTTCTGTGGATATATTTTGGATGTGGTATATTTGAATGTATTTGATAGGTTTTTGCGGGGCTCCAGTGAGTTTTTCTAGGTTTTTTCTATGTTTTTCTATGTTTTTTCTATGTTCCTATAACGAAATGTGAGTTTTTCATCCAGTTTCCTCCATTTTCCGGGCAAAAACCGCGACCTGAGTCACGGTGCCCGAATCCTCAAAGAGTGCGCGCAGGTCGTCGGCACCACAGCCTGTGGCCAGGAGTTAACCATGTTTCACCAGATCATTGGGAATTCCAATTTGATAGGTACCCTCTGGTAAATTAAAAATAACTATGGAAAATCACAATTTTTAATGGGTAAATCCACTATTTCAATGGTCATTTTCAATAGCTATGTTAAATTACCAGAGGGTAGGTACCTCCAATATGGTAGGTACCTCCAATTTGGGTTCCTGGAATGGCCATGTTTCAGAAAAATTATGGCTTTCATGATTTGACTATGAGTTAAGCAAGTTAAGCCATTAAAATGCTGGTTTTTGACCAAACATGGAGAGTTGACCATGAAAGCTGAGGATTTGATCGTCACAAAAGTGTGGAGATTCCCATCCAGGATGATCTCAACAAAATTCAACCAACCACCAGCAAAAAAAACACCATGGCAATCCAACCAAAATACCCCCAAACTGACCCAAAACCAACAAAATGCCAGCAAAACCAACACCGAGCAACTAGGGCTCAAATTCTTCACGTTCACGCGGACGGACTGGGATACAGCATCACCTGTGATGGTTTTACAGGACTTGGCCCAGCAGGGGGAACGACCCGTTTTTTAAGTCAAGAGTCAAGAATATCCTCCCTGGTGACCCCTCAACAGGAAAACCATGGAAAACCATCTTCAAATTCATTGTAAACGACAATGTTACCATGGTTTTCCGCCTTGGATTTGCCGGAAGAAAGGGCTGTCCCATTCAACTGGTCAAACACATCATGTTCCCCATTCTAGTGGCAATAAATTGATATAAATTGGATTAAATTGGGGGGTTCAAGCGTAATCATCCCCCATTCTGACAATTTGAGCTAACTGTGCATTCCCTGGGGCTAACCTGACACAACCATAACCTGTGGAAAACCACCATCATTCATAGGTCATTTCATCCAGAAAAATGACCTGCCACATCCAGAGCCTGACACTTTGACCTTGGACTCCGCGACTTCCTTCGGCTCCTTGGACTCCTTCGCTTCTGCGTCCTCAGCGAAGTGGTGAAATGATGAGGATTTTTCATTGGGTCTTCTGGTGGTTTTATTTATGATTTCATGAGGATTCAGCGGAGGTTTATATATGGCATACTAAGGCTGTAGCCAACAAATGGTGAATCTGGACAAAGCATAATAATTGATAACTGACTAACCTGACATGGCTACTAAGTGTGGAATTGTGGAATGGTTACAAGTAGAGTTTCCATTTCCATCATTCACAGTGACGTCGAGGTCATGATGGTTTATTCTCATGCTTCCAGCTCAGGAGATGTAAATGGCGAGCAAATGGACAATTATCCATTGCACATGGATTATTTGTATACTAACTGGGATGTGACTGGCAATCGATGTGAATATAGGGACCCCTGGTTATTGTTTTATTTCTTGGTCATGCTTGATCAGGGGGACCAATGGTTTCAGAGTACCCCAAATTTGAGGAAAACATATATATATATGGTTCTAACATGTTCTAATGCCGTTGTAAGAGCAGGGCAACGGGATATAATTACCCAAGTGTTGTGTCGATTATTATCCACTTTCCACCTTTGGAGGATGTGCTCTTTCCACGTGAATCATGTGACATGTGGATTTTTGAGCGCCAAGCGCCAGGGTAAAATTTAAAAACCAATTGAATCAGAAATGGTAGTCCCGATGTTACATCGGGCGAGAATCATAGACCAACATTCTCTACCAGGTAAGATTTCCTAGCTTGGTAGGTGACATTGACGGTACCGGGGGTTAAACGTCCTTTGATTCATGGCATACCCATAAAAGATCCAAAAGTGAGTCAAATTACTGTTGGATATGGAACAGCAAACTTTAGATAAATCATGTTTTTGTTCAATCTGTCCTGGGGAAGTGCTAGGGGAACGGATGTGTTTGATTTCTGTGTATATGGGGATATGCAACATGCAGGAACAGCAAATGAATCGTGGAAATGTAGAACCTCATGAAAAACTATGACAAACTTGGTAATCAACATTGAAACACACACACAGAGACAAACAAACACCATCAAACATGCACATACAATATGCACATATTACACATAGGTCCCATAGGTTATAACCAACTAAAGAGTTTCTTTAATCCAGCATGCCCAACAGCAAAACTTAATACTTAAGTAACTAATTTTAAAAAAATACATGAAACCACCAGCCAGAGAAATTATGAATAATATATCAATAATATATCAATAATATATAATAATATATCAATAATATATAATAATATATCAATAATATGTCAATAATAAATCAATAATATTGTTTGTATCTCCAAAATTCTTTGCTAAAGTTGATGGTAAGCTACAAGCGCAACGCTGGAAAATCTTCGTCCGTGTTCCGAGATCAAAACTGAGGCCTGGGGCGCCCCACCGCCATGGCGCAATCTGAACTTTCACCGAAAGCTTCGTCACTGGAAAATAACATGTCAGGTTTTAACAGCTGTTCTGATGGACATTTGAAAATGACCAGAGATTCAATCCGAAAGCTTCTGTTTCTTCAGTTTCTTCGCTGTTTCTTACGACCCATGATAGGTATCTTCTAAGCAGTCGTGGTCACATCAGAGATCTCAGAAATTGTTTCAATAGACGCGGCATCTCTTGGGCCAAATGGCTCTGGCACCAACCGCTGAGACACGTCTCGGTCCACTGTCGGATCCACTAGGACCGAATGGAGTGTGACCACCCGAGCATCTCCGGACCCAAATGGAACATCGCAAATCTGTCCAAATCCTGCCACCCACCGGACCCCGGAATTTTCTGCGCCACTTCTGATGGATAAAGCACCCGGCCTGGAGCTGGTGAAGATCCCATTGTGGAAAATCGATGTATCATCAAGGCAATGCTTCTAACACCAAACAAAAGGCAGGCCCTTATCGATTCTCTACAGGAGCCAAGAATGAAGAAATCCAATACATTCCACCAAGCTGTGGGGTTTGGAAGGTTTTTTTTTAATGATCAAGCAACCATCATTCAACCAAGCAGTGGCTACTGATATCATGCTGAAAACTATGCCATAAACATCCCATCTATGTTGATCCATTCGGGTGCTGTTTTGGTCATCCTCTCTAGAATTAAATCAAGAAATTCAGTTTTGGGGATGTTTATTAAGTGGTGCAAATAAGCGCAAATAATATTCGTATTGCCAATTATCATGATATTTTATGTAAGATATAATCTTATCAAATTAGTTTTACGCATATGTGTGTGTGTAAGAAAAAAACTGTCAACTCCTATCAATCTAATTTGTCAAACTGTCAAACATTGCTAATCAAATGCACATTGGTTCCGTTCCCCATCGCAAGTTCTAGAGAATAGAATCATCCAGGAAATTCTGCCACTCCGCCAGGCCTAGTCACTAGAGCTCCGGTGTGGCACTTTCTGTACGGGCAAGCCCTGTGCTTGCCATGCCTTGAAGCCGCCACGCAAGGGTCTTACATCCCTGGCGGATGCGCAAAAAGGGATGGCTTTCCAAGTGAGAGCCAGGGAGCGGGATGTTACAATGCTTGCACATGTGTTATATATACATACACATTAAAACAATATAATATATATATATATAACAATTTTAAATATATATATATAAAACACTTTAATATATATATATATATTATATTAATGAGATATAACAACTAGTTATATATAATTACTGTATGATACTGTATGCATATTATGTATCATATGCATAATGGAAACTGCAAGATGTTTCTATAAATATACGTCAGTTCGCACAGGCGCATTTTTTTCAAACACACACCGCCCACACAAAGAAACATCCGTTCTTCAGTCCTGGTCCCTGTAGCTGGGTCCGTGCATCGTGGCACTTTGAACCTGAATTCGTGCCATATCCGATGCCTTCACCAGATCAACATCCACGGTGAGTTACGAATGGACATTGCCACAATTCCTCGACAGGTTCCATGTCATCATGCCATCCTAATCAAGTCGGGCATCCAGAAGTTTGCCTCACCAATTTCCAGCAGTTCCACATCCCAGGGCTCGTTGAGTTGCTCAGGAGGTACCGAAATCGCCAGGTCCAGCATCCATGCTGCTACGCGAAGAATCATCAGCGAATCTTCATGAAAGTCTTCTTCATCTTCCATCATCTTCCTCTTCTCCAAAAGCTCACAAGGTATAAAAGCTCCCCAACTCTGGCCTTTCAGTGCTTTCAAACAGGGACGGAGCCTCTGCAGGAAAGTTCCGCAGGTCCTGAAACCATGGCTTGGCATAGACCAAGTACAGTAAGGGTCGATCTCGCCGCAAATGGTCCTGAGCCGTGCCAGCGCATCTGGAAAAATCGCCCATTGGTTGGTGAAAATCATTGGAAAACAAGTGTGATTTTAGTGGGATTGTTTTTTCAAAATCGTTGGGACCGCTTTTCCAAAAAAGGGCTGTTTTGATCAGGTTTTCCAATGTTCTTTTGGAAAGGGTCGAGCTATTTTCTTTTTATGTGTTTAATCTTTTTGGTGCATGCTGTATGCGGGTAGAAATAGTAAACACGTATAAGGGATGGATTGCGTGCTTGATCCTCAAAGTGAATGAAAGTGGCAAATGGTCGGAACTGGATGTTTAGAACCAAATTATATAAATATCACGACAAAGAAACAGGAAAGGTCATGAAAGGTCTATAATTATAAAGAATCTTGGTGGAAATCCATGCTGTGGAATCGAAAATGCTGCCAGCATTTGGACATTAAAACCTATGTAATGTCGAAGTCTTGATTGCTCCTTTCCATGATGATCTCCTTTATACTCAACTTTCACGTTTGTCTTACCATTCTTGGCTCACATTCTTGATGCCTCACCACAGTTGGTCAGTGGCTACCAGAAGTTATGGACATTGTCCCTACTGGCGTTATAACCCAACGGGCTGCGCCACCAAACATGGGGCCATGGACGGCCGTGTTGGATGATCCCGGCTCCTACCCACTATGATCCCTGGCTGATGGCGCTAGGTTGCCTGCCACCCAGGACATGTCCTTGCTTCGGGCTCCCAATAATTCCTAAGATCCAACTTGATAATTGGTTAACTCAACAATGAAGAGTCCCCAATTCTACCAGAAATGGGCTCTATATACACCATCCTCAAAATGGTGGATGGTTAAATCCCTATTACCATTGAGTTTACCACATGAATGTTTCCATTACCCAATATATAGATCAATATAGATCAATATAGAACTATCCTATCTACAATTCACAATTAGCATAATTAACATTAATTAACTATACCCCTAAAAATCCATAAAAAAATGCTTCAATCTTTCCTGCTGGGCTGCTGCTGGGTGGATCCCCTACCAAGTCTCCACATTTGCCTCACCCCGGTGCAGCACGCGACTATCAAACGCCAGCCACGTCCCCAGGGGCGGCGCCAGCGTCACCGTCTCGTCGCTTCCGACGCTTCCGGCGAAGGTTCTGTGGGAGCCGGGGAGGAAGCTGGTACCGCCAAGGCTGGAGGTCATCTCCTAGGTGCGGAACTTTGACACATTCTACTCTCTGGTAATTTAACATAGCTATTGAAAATGGCCATTTATATTGAGTTTTCCCATTAAAAATGGTGATTTTCCATAGTTATGTTAGTTTACCAGAGGGTATGGCAAACGGATGGATGGCGGTTGCCCAGCTCCTTGAAGATCTTGTTTTGAAAACAGGCGAAAAAAAACCACCGTGATAGAGTTCACATGGAAGTTTGAATGGGTCCTAAAGATGCAACCGCTTTGCATTTTCCATCGGTGGAATCCTGCACCCTTTCCAAGATTCAGCTGAGGCTCAACCAGGGGTACGAAGATGGTGATGGCATGTGCTGGCAGGTCAGGCATCTGAAAAAGATGTTCCTGGATGGAAAAAATGGAAAAATCGCGAAATTTCAGGTTGACACTCCAACATCCAGGAGTAATGATCCCATTATTTGAAGGGAATGATCCGCATGTTTGTTTGCGATATAATGCAATGTTGAATTGCTAGAGTACCATTTGTTATTGAGGCCAAGGAATACGGAAACAATAGCCTCGCATAGCCCAATTTCATAATTCCTTCATTCTTAGGGGTTCTAGCCAATTGTTGGCAGTTGCGGCCCCCAATGAAATAGTAGGGTCCAGTAATAGTAAGCACATCCAAGAAATACATAGAAATACTGAGAAAAAGAAGAAATGAAGAAGAACGAGGAGAAGCAAAACAATTCTACCAGAAATGTTTTTTGTATCAACCATCCACAACTGGGGATGATTTTTCTATGGGCCTGGCACTCTATCCATAGTGTTTTCTACCACCTCTATAGGGTGAAATACACTCCTACCATGGACCAAAAACGGTCATTTCCAATACAAGTAATCAAAGCATATTCCAGAGCCAAATGGTTGGATATTTCTGGTTGCCATGTTGGTTGCAATGTTGGTTGCCATGTTGCTTTTCCATGCTTTTCCGCTATGCCCAGTTATAACTGGCTCACCCAAGGTGCTGTGTCTCGATGCCAGGCTTGGGTCTCAGAGCCATACCTGCTGAGCAATACACCGCGGCTCAGTTCCTGACGACTGGCGTCATGGTATTTCTCTTACTACAAGAGATTTCATTGGAGGTACCCTCTGGTAAACTAACAGTTTGCTATTGAAAATTGCCATTTGTTGATTTAACTATTAAAAATGGTGATTTCCCATAATTAGTTATGTATACGTTTACCAGAGGCTAAACAATGACTGCAAGTTGTAAGCCTTGGATGAAAGGATTCAATGATGGGATCGGACATAGTAAAATGATATTTACACGTATTTTACCCAGATACACATGTAATCTAATTGGTGGTTGACCTACCCCTCTGAAAAATATGCTCGTCAGTTGGGATGATTATTCTCAATATGTGGAAAGTCATAAAATTCATGTTCCAAACCACCAACCAGTAATATACGTATGCGTACATTACATTCCATTCCACAGCGCCGTCCTTGGCATCCCCCAGGACAGCGTTTACAAAGGAGGCCCATGGCAATTCATCACAGCCTCCGCTGGGGTGGGGTACAACAGTTGATCTCACCCAAATATGGCGTTAATAGGGGCTTTCACCAACCAAAATGTGGAGGTTTATGTAATATTATATGGTTTTATATGGTTTAATGGGGTGTCATAAACAATTTACCATAGCTACATTGGTTTACCAAAGGGTACTTGATGCACATATATATTCATTAATTTATATATTCATTAATTTAAGCAACTCATGTGCAATTGTAGTTCATGAAAGTTTTCATGCCCAAAACGCATGTGCTCGGATTGAAAACACCTCCCTGGAATCAGTTGTCACAAATGTCACCAGAAATGGTACAGTCAAACCCTGAAATTTGTGGTCCACAAATGGTACCACTGACTGTCAGGCCAATCTGCCCTGGTCCTTGGACTCCCGGCCTCCACCCTCCAAGCGCACGTCATATCGTCCCTCCGATCGACTGCAAACTTCTTGAAATTGGAAGCTGTCACAAATGTTGGTAGCCTCGGATGGAGTTGCGTTTGTTAGGACAGCTTGCCAACTTCAGCCCATGCCCAAACCCCTCAAAGCCACCAAGCATGCCATGAATAAACATACATAATATGCAATGAACTAACAAACCACATACCCCGTCCCTTCGGGCCGTGTGTTTCTCAACGATTACTCAATTTTAGAAATTGGTCAAAGAACCAAGAGCCAAACATAATTTGCAACAAGCGGGGCAAGCAATAACAATTCACAGGTGCTTCGGTTTTAGGATAGACCAGAGGCAGCCCCATATACCAAGCGTTATTTTCGCTCATAAAACTCTGTGGGTTGTCAGTCTAGCAATGCCTTCCAAGTGCTATCGGTATGGCATTGCCTTCAAACTGCTGTCTGTACGGTATTGCCTTCAAAATGCTGTCTGTACGGCATCGCCTTTCGGTATGGCATTGCCTTTAAAATGCTCTGTCTGGCAGTGCCTTTAAAGTGCTGTGTCTGGCATTGCCTTTAAAACTTTCAGGTCGGCGGGACCGTGCTCCCCACCATGTCGAACATCCTGTCACGTCTGGCTTCCATCGCAGTTTCCATCACCTTGTCCGGATAGCTCCTTCATGTTTGGGTGGCTCTTATTGCTGAACGCATGAAAACAATCAAACAAAGTATGTAGCGTCTGAAAACTAAAATGTTTGAACACGTCACACAAACCGTCAAAACCATGTTGTGGCTTCCATCTGCCCAAACTTGTTCCTCTCTTTTGGCTTTTCCAAGCTGCATGCGCAGCATGCCCACATCCAAAGGAGCATGACCAGAAAGGCGATAACCCACATGATGCCAGCAAGATGCGATTTTGGGATGGGCCGAAACACTGCAAGTTCAACATCTTCCAATAATGATGTCTTCATTTTCTGATGGCACTGGTACACCGTGGTATAGCAGCACCACCAGCTACTTTCCCTCACATTTGTGAAACCTGTGCAGTAGTAGTAGTAGTAGTAGTAGTAGTAGCAGTAGTAGTAGTAGTAGCAGCAGCAGGAGTAGTAGTAGTAGTAGTACTAGTAGTAGTAGTAGTAGCAGCAGCAGGAGTAGTAGTAGTAGTAGTACTAGTAGTAGTAGTAGTAGTAGTAGTGCAATGTTCTTTGCTGTGGTTCTCTGATGGGTTTGTCACCAAATTAAGTGTCTCGCTTGTGTGTGTGTGTCTGTGCGTGCGTGCGTGTGTGTGTGTGTGTCTGTGCGTGTGTGTGTGTGTGCGTGTGTCCCTAGTGTGCGCCTTTAAATAAATTCTAATGAATGCCAGTTCCTCATTAGTATCTTTGATATTCTTATACTTCTTCAATTGGTTCTTACCTGTTCCCTGGCGCAGTCGTGAAGATTTGTTCTCAGATTCTCAATGGCCAAAATATGTGTTTACACAAATACTCACAAGCGAACTTGTTAGTGTAGAATTCAGCTGTGGTCGCATGTGCATTTCAGATTATACAACACATGTCATCAGAAACTATTTGGGCATCAGCCGATATCGTTCCTCGTCCAATGTTTTTTCCTACTGTTCCCATGTGTTCCATTACATCACCTATCACCTTGTTGAGGTGGTTTCCTTGTCTTCTACCGTGATTTGCCGACTCCAAAAGAAGGAACTTCAGTAGTCTTGACATTCAATTGTGTTACGTATCTTACCACTTTTGCTGATTTTGAAATATTTTGAGCAGCTATTGCGCGAACCACTCAACTTTACTCCCACTAAAAACTGCATCCCCTTGGTTCACCGCTGCCAAGAAACCGCCGGAAATCGATGCTGAAGCTCCGGCAGCACTTCATCCCAGTGGTTTCTGAACTCCTGGTGCCATGCTTTGAGGACAGATACTTCCACTCGATCCGCAGGGTCGTCGAAGACAAGGACGCCGCTTTTCGCCAACGCTTCCTGGGCTTGCCGGCAAAAAGAAGGCCCTTTTCTTCACAACAGTATTTCGAAGGAGAAACAACATGGAAATTGCAAATGATCTTGTTGTGAGAAAGTGTGATATGATGTGATATGTGAATTTTGGATAGGTTCCAACCCGATCGATGGCAAGCAATGCCCACATATGCGCGGGGTTACAGTAATTACGTTTGTTGCATCAACATTGGTCAGGCATCTCAATCAATTTGAGCGAGTTTTGCCCTCAAAACCACACACACACAAAAAAAAAGAAACAACCACCAGTGGATTTTGAAAGTGAATCTATTTTGGTTTTGGAAAAACACCAGTTAGCGATCCATTTTCAGACGCCCCGGCAGCCACTGCATCGACCAGCATCCACTGCATCGGCCATGTCCGTGGCTCGTGCGCGCAGGGACACGCTGCGAAACTCTGCGAATGCCCTGCATGACTTGGAGCTGGTGACCAGCTATGACCAGCTAACTTCCCACTATATAATTATCCCATGACGTCCTCATCCTGCCAAAGCCAATAATAAAGACACCGTTTACAATCTTTACATGTTTTGCATCCTGCAGCATCCCCAGTCATGGTAGGTTTGAATGGCATTGGGTGAATCTCATATCATCCATGATCCCCTCTCTCCCTCTTTCTCTCTATGGCCACGTCGCAGAGATTTCAACCAAAGCTGACGGTGTTATTTCCAAGTAATAATTATAGCCAGTGTTATTAACAATGATTCCAGCTATACCAGCAGTATAAACCATTCTACCCACCAGTAGTTAGTTGACCAAAATCATCATCATGGGATAATATCACCAATAATTATAGTTCATGAATAGTATCCCAATAATTATATATATAACTAAATCAATTAAGTGTAACTATCATCATTCCCAATAAGAATGGATTATTGGTACAACATAATAGTTATAATTATTCCAAATAATTATTGCTACAATATTGTAATTAGGATGATGATGATGATGATGATGATGATGATATTAATCCCATCCGCCTATATAATATTCAAGACCCCCTTGAAACCATGGTGGATGTAGGGAAATTCCACATAATTGGGACCATAGAAAGGGGGTTTATGTTTAAAAAATGGGATTAATACCCCATCTTATACCATCTTTATTCCATCAAAAACCCACTGGCTTATTTAACATAGCTTTGTGAAAACCACTATTTAGTTCTTTAAAACGGTCAAAAATTAGGCAAATTATTCATCAATATGGACTATGTTCATCCATTTTCCAGCACCAAAAACCACCTTCTGAACGGTCAGGCGGCCTTGGCCGTTGCATTTCACTCCTTGCATGCTCCCAGCCCTTGCGCAGCGCGTCGCGCATGCCGCGCATCCTCCCCGTGCTGCTCCCGTTGCCGGCGCGCGTTTGTTGGGCCGCACCGAGGCAGCGACCTAGGTCCTTGGAAAAGAACAGGGCTGCTTTTTGTGGAGTTTTCACCGTCAAAGATCGAGTTTTTACCGTCAAAAATGGAGTTTGGGCCATCAAAAGGCGAGTTTTGACCTTTTGAAGCATGGTGATCTGAACATGAAACATGGTGATTTAAACGTCAAACACGTGGATTTAACAATGAAACATTTGCAGCTAACCATCCAAAGAATGACTTATGAATGATCCAAACCATCAAACATTGGGATTTAAGTGTCTGAAATGCGTGGTTTAAGCATGAAGATGAGTGACTAAAGTGACTAAAGCTGTAAACCTTGTGGTGTTTAAAACACAAACATGATAGTTCAACCCATCCAAGGTTGTAATTGTCCACCATTGAAGCCATCGAAAATGGTGGATTTAACTTAACTATTGAACTATCAAACGATTCGGCTGATTGGTGGGAACCAGGAAACAGTGTCTTGGTGTCCAGCAAAATTTCCTTGAACAAAATCCAGTGATCAACCTCACCCTCAATAATAAAGAACTAGACAATTGTCCATAGCCAATTTGCCTACAGTCACCTGCAAATCACTCAAATGATGTATCAAAATGCCATTCAATATAATATATTATATATAACTAGATACCACACATGGAAAAAACTAGGAAATCAACAGTAACAATAACCCAAGAAGAAAACAAAGAAATAGTTGAACAACAAGTGGTTTTGGAATGGTGTAGTCATTTGTTTAACATTAAGCATGACAAAGCGCCATCTTCAATTCACTATGGTTGGAATTGGGACTGCAGGTGTGCAAGCTTTGAACCATGCACATATAATCACACATGTATCATTATCATCATGCATGCATCAAACGCATTCAAATGCAAACCTGATGAAGGTACGCATGGTCCATGTCTGCCTCTATATATATTTATATATGTTCCCAAGGGTTACTCCCCGACCAAAAAAAACAACAATTTTAACCTCCAGTTTTGTTGGTTAACTCCCTATCAACCCCATGTTTGGCAACCCAAACGGAACCGTCCACTGCGGCTCCTTCATCATGGTGCCATTTTTCATCGCAAGGGCTTCATCCCTCAACTCCTGGGGCTGGAGGTTTCCGGCAGGTCATGGGGATGTCAGACAGGGATACCCCGCGATACACGGCTTATGGACTGCTTATTTCATGGGAAATCCTATTGAAATGGATGATAAATGGGGTACCGAGATTTCTGGAAACCTTCATGTGGGTGCAGGAAGTGCCCAGGAACTGCCCAGGAAGGCATTTTTTTGAACCTGGAGTCAGGAATGGATTAGTTCACGTCAAGTTTATAATGCCTCAGAACAGGGGCCCTTGAACGACCTTGAACCCGATGTCCTACAAGCAGGGCAACCACAGGAAACCACCTGTTTAATTAACTGTATTTGCTCAAACTTTCCCAGATTCCAAAGGGCCAGCATCTCAATTCTAGGGCTAAAGCATGGTTCACCGTTCACACCCGCACTTCACGGTACCCTCAGGCAGCAGTTTGCCCACAACAGTACCACTGATACTGTTTGTTGACAGCCCGTTGCCCTTTGTCTATCACTTGTTTCGTATACATCTCCATCTATTCCAATTGTGGATTGTCGTCCAACCATGCTTGTTCACTGGAGGGTGTCACAAGATGCCACAACCATTTAATATAAAATAAATCAAACAACATCAAACAACATTTAAATTTGCACATGATGGATCTTCATGTTCTTTCAGATTCCAATTCCATTAATTGGCGGGTACCATGATGTGTTTTTGTGGTATGTATTTATTCATTTATTTCGATGTGTAATGTTCTTGTTTTAGATCTTTGAACAAAAAACTGAAAAACAACACGACACATGGAGGATTCCGAAGTCATGGGGGTACAAATCATCCAAGTCATGGATGAACATGACTTATCAATACTTATCATCCATGACTTAGTATTGAAACATATTGAAACCTATGGTTTCAACCTCCCATCCTCCCATGACTTAAGACTTCCTGCACCCTGCGCGCCGCGTCGCGGCAGCGTTGCCGCCAGCGCTGCGCGTCAGCGCCCAGGGAGGAGAGCAATGTCAATGAGGCTTGGTGCTCGGAGGCCTGCAGCTTCACTAAATGCCAAGGTGCTCCAATTTCAAGAAGGGAAGATGAATGAAATCCCATTGAATCACTATATATAAAATCCGATTAAATCCCATTAAATCACTATAAGTTATGGACTAGGTGATAAGATGATGTTTACAAGGTATATTTTACTCATTGAACATCATTTGAAATCCGTATATAAGTTTAAATCAAGCATGAACTTCAGTGCGATAAACCCGTAGTTTCATGTTGACAATTGTTGACATACCCTCTGGTATACGTTCACATAACTATGGAAAATCCACCAATTTTAATGGGACAATTCACTATAAATGGCCATGTTCAACAGCTATGTTAGTTTACCAGAGGGTATATCCCATTAATAGCCCATTGAATCACTATAATATCCCATTAAATCACTATAAAATCCCATTAAATCACTATAAAATCTCATTAAATCACTATAAAATCTCATTAAATCACTATAAAATCCCATTAAATCACTATAAAATCTCATTAAATCACTATAAAATCCCATTAAATCACTATAAAATCTCATTAAATCACTATAAAATCCCATTAAATCACTATAAAATCTCATTAAATCACTATAAAATCCCATTAAATCACTATAAAATCTCATTAAATCACTATAAAATCCCATTAAATCACTATAAAATCTCATTAAATCACTATAAGATCCCATTAAATCCCATTAAATCCCATTAATATCCCATTGAATCACTATAAAATCCCATTAAATCCCATTAAATCACTATAAAATCCCATTAAATCCCATTAAATCACCATAAATGACATAAACTTTGAGAGGATGGCCATGGTTCCAAACGCCTCCAGCGTGTCATCCAACAGCTCCAACTTGGCGCTACCTCAGTGGATCGGCGCCCTTCCAACGGGTTGCTATATGGAAAAATGGGATTTAATAGTGATTCTATAGTGATTTTATAGTCATCATTTATAGTGATTTTATAGTGATTTTATAGTGATTTAATGGGATTTAATGGGATTTTATAGTGATTCAATGGGATATTAATGGGATAACCATAGGAAACCACAGGAAACCATAGGAAACCTCTCTGTAGTTGTTACCCTCAAGCATCTGCGTGACAATCGTACATCCACAAATACAACTGTATAATCCCAGCATCATGCAAGACTCTGGCTCAATGGCATGCATTCATCATCCGTTTGCGCTTGCAACCCATCCCAACATATATAACATATCAGATCTGACAAATATTGCCGGAAATTGCCGCCGTTGAAGAAAGAAGAAACACGGTGAGTTTCGACAGAATAGAACATCAGCAACAAACATCTCCGCCCACCAATCCTGCACAATTGCACCGGCACGTTTCAAAATCCACCTTTTTGATTGGTTCAAAATGGCATGGATTTAGAGTGTCAATGATGGAGTCAAACGTTGGATTGGTTTTATTGGTCGCAGAAGCATCCCTGTCCCCATCCAACTGGCCAAGGCTAAACATTACCCACTAGCCTCTCATTCACTAGTCAATATCCAACAAAAAACACGCCAAGACATCCATCATGATCATCATCATCATCATCAATACCCATATTATCATGTGATAACCTAACGCTATTGAACAATTCTTGACATTTTCTTACACAATCTAAATAGGTAAATCACCAGACTAAACTCCCACCTGTACTACATATCTTAGTAAATTATTGTAAATGATAGTAATTCACTAAGTGACCCTTACTAAACCAATCTAAACCATATTTCCAGTGAGGTTGCCGGGTTCGGTCGTAATTAAATTGATCAAACTGCGGGCAGTTTTTTGTCGCCGTTTGTCCCAGTCGTCCGAGGTCGTCCGACTCCGACTCGGCTGTCCAAGTCGCCCAGCATCTGCTGTCTCCAGGCTTCGATTCCCAAATGGTATCCTGCTTCCGGATCGCCCTGGGCAGTTGCCGTTGAAAACACAGAACATTTAATGTCCACGTGCGATTAATATCGAAAAAAAAAATCCCCCTGCAGTAAAGTACGCCCAATCCCAGGAAATATTAGTAAACCCCCCCCGTAATAAATAAGTACGCCAACCGATTTTTGATATGTTTTTCCGTTTTCAATTAGGCAATTCATTTGGGAATACTAAAATGCAAAGAAAGTCCACTTATGTATTCGTTTTTAATTAGGCAATTCATGTGGGAATACTAACATGGAAAGAAACTTCACTTATGTATTCGTTTTCAATTAGGCAATTTGTTCGGCGCCACGTAGGTCTGGAAAATTTTCCAGGGACCCCCGGCCCATGTTTGGCCTAAACTTTATTTTCATGATTCTTAATGTTTGTGGGGGTTATGAAAATGACATGTCAACATTACTGTGAAACTCATGGGGGAACCGTGACTGGGGGTCATTTTCATTTACTACCATGCCCACTACTATGAGTATACCAAATAATAAAAGCCCTATTTGGGATGGTGAATATTACAGTTGTGAGTTCTCCAACTGTATTCCCGCAATTATCCATTATCCCCCCATGATTCTCCAAATAGTATCTGTTGATAATCCCATTCATCCTTGTTGTTCTTTTTTAACTGGTGATATTTAAAATTACCAACCACATTAGGAATACTACTACGATTATGGGAATTATTAACTATTACTATTAACTATGTGGATAATATTACTATCATGGGGACAATGCTAAATTATGGGGGTTACTTAACCATTAAATTAGCTATTCACAATAAATCATTGTGGGATATACCACATGATTGGGGATATTTATGGATATTTACAATTTTCTCGGAGCACTATGGAACACGACTACACGACTATAATCATGGGGAACCATTCAATTCTGGGGATGAACCATGAAAAAATCATACCAAATCACAGCATCAGCCCCTGGACGCGCCTCAAGGGCTTCCTTCAGGTACCAGGAGCAGAGTCCGGTGCCCAGGTCCTCTGCAGGCTGAGTCCAGACGATGACGGCGATGCGCTGGTGATCCTCCTGACGGAAGTTGCTTTTTGGTACCTCAGCTAGTCTTAGAGGTCTAGAATCTAGTATGGTCTAGTTATTCTTCGATTTTCACAGCTCTTCAATTTGATTTCTTGGAGTTTGAACAACATTAATGTTGTCTACCGATTAATGCCGTTGACCTCTATTGTGGATATTTTACTAAAATTATTGAGTATCTTGTGGATGGGAAGGGTGGGCCACTATTGTGGAACGCGTTTTCTCAGATCCGTTTTTTTTCAGGAGGAGCTTTATCCACCTTTATACACATTTCTTTGGGTAAAGCTGGTCCGTTTACTTTAGAAAACCATATCCATGTTAAAGCCTTGAAAATGCAAGGTGTCCCATATAATTATATAGATGCCTTATTGAACCCTTATCAAAAAAACAGCACCCAAACAATTGTTCAATCGGGTACCCCATCAGTGACCCAGATCCTCAATAATGTATTTAATGGAATTGTTTCGATGACAACCTAGTGTGCACAAACACTTTTGGGGTGAAACAAAAACACAAAACCTTTTATCCACCTTTCTTTGGGTAAAGAAGGTCCATTTACTTTAGAAAGCCATATCCATGTTAAAGCCTTGAACATGCAAGGTTTCCTAAATAATTAGATGCCTTATTGAACCCTTATCAAAAAACAGCACCCAAACAATTTTTCAATCGGGTACCCCATCAGTGACTCAGATCCTCAATAATGTAATTAATGTAATTGTTTCGATGACACCCTAGTGTGCACAAAAACTTCTGGGAGTATCTTTTTATTTGAAAGGAACATAAATTGACAGTAGATTCAAATAAATTGAAAGTAAATTGGTTTCAATTGAAATCCTTTCTTATCAATAGATTTCTTTGAGGTTTAAAAGGAAAATTAATTGAAAGTGTAGATTCAAATGAATTGAAAGTAAATTGATTCAATTGAAATCCTTTCTTAGCAATAAATTCCTTTGAGGTTTACAAGGAAAAATCAATCGAAAGTAGATTCAAATGAATTGAACATAAATTTGATTTTATCAAAAGATTTCTTTGAGGTTTAAAAGGAAAAGCAATTCAACGTAGATTGATTTCAATTGAACGCCTTTCTTATCAATTTTGAAGTTTTAAAGGAAAATCAATTGAAAATAAATTGATCTCAATTGAAATCCTTACTCAAGTTGATCATCCTGAATCCAGGACTGGTTCCCAAGAAAATGGCGAGTTATTGAGTAGCCTACAATTGTTGGGGGGGGCACCCCACATCAATCAGTAGCCAACATTACTGGTTGGTGGTTGACCTACCCCTCTGAAAAATATGAAAACCAGTTGGGATTATTGTCCCAATATATGGAAAAATAAAAGCCATGTTCCAAACCACCAATCAGATTAATGTGGGATGCTGATTAGTGTGGTGATCCTCTTTTGTTTCAATTTTTTTTTGAAATAATTTAGGCCCAGGGAATTTGAGGGGTGGTTTTGTTTCATTATTTTTTGTTTTTTTCCCAGTTTTTGTTTAAATTGGTTTATTTATTTGTTTTTATTTGTTGTTAAATTTATTTCAATTTTCTGTTGTTTTTTATAATTAACTATTTTTTTCGTTTTTTTTTGTGGAATATTTCCAAGTTTTTTTCATGAGCAATATTTATCCTAAATAAATAATATTTTTTTTGGTGGTGGTCCTCTATTGTGTCCAACTGTTGTCTGGAAAAAGACATGTTTCAATTGTTTCAGGTTTTTTCATGAGCAATATTGATCCTAAATAATATGTTTGTTGTGGTGGTCCTCTATTGTGTCCAACTGTTGTCCGAAGAAACAATTTTTTTAAGGTTAATTATGACCCATCAGCAATAATTAATTGATTAAATAGGATGCCTTATTAAAAGCCAATTAAAAAACAGCACTCAAACAATTTTTCAACGGGATAGTCCATGAGCAGCACTGATCCTCAATAGTATGTTTGTTGTGGTGGTCCTCTATTGTGTCCAGCTTTTTTTTGGAAGTAAAAATTAAAATCATTCTCACCTTTCCTTTTCCTTTCCTTTGCTAATATTTTTCTCTGTTTTACTTTCTTAGCTCCATTTTTTGGGGAATTCTTAAAATGTTTAATGCCCCAAAATATAGGATGCCGCGATGCCTTATTAAAACCCAATTAAAGAGCAGCACCCAAACAATTTTTCAAGGGAGTAGTCCATGAGCAACGCTGATCCTCAATATATAGTATGTTTGTTGTGGTGGTCCTCTATTGTGCCCAGCTTTGTTTTGGCAGCATTCTTTTACCAAAATCATTCTCTCCTTTCCTTTTCCTTTCCTTTGCTAATCCTTTTCTCTTCAAACATTCCCTTTACCTTTTCCTTTGCTAAAGTTTTTTTCTTCTTTGGTATTTCTATGCATTTCTATGGTATTACTATTGGATTTCTATGGAATTCCTATGGGATTTCCATGATGTTTCTATGATATTTCTAGAGGATTTCTATGGGATTTCTGAAGGGATGCTATGGGAGTTCTATGGTATTCTTACGGGATTTCCATGGATTCCTATGAGATTTCTATGGGTTTTCTATGATGTTTCTATGTTTTTTCTATGGGGTTTCTATTGGATTCCTGTGGAATTTCTATTGGGTTCCTGTGGGATTTCCAAAGTATTTCCATGATGTTTCTATGATATTTCTATGGGATTACTATGGGAATTCTTATGGGATTTCTTTGTGGTTCCTATGCTATTTCCATGTTATATCTATGATCTTTCTATGAGATTTCTGTGGGATTCCTATGGGATTTCCATGATATTTCTATGATCTTTCTATGGGATTACTATGGGATGTCAATTGAAAGTAAGTTGAAATCAATTGAAAGTAAATTGAAATCAATTGAAAGTAAATTGACATCAATGAAAATTGAAATCAATTGAAAGTAAATTGAAATCAATTGAAAGTAAATTGAAAGCAAATTGAAAGTAATTTTAAATCAATTGAAAGTAAATTTAACAATCAATTGAAATCAATTGAAAGTAAATTGAAAAACAATTGAAAGTAAATGGAAATCAATTGAAAGTAAATTGAAATCAATTGAAATAAATTGAAAGTAAATTGAAATCAATTGAAAATTAATTGAACGTAAATTGAAATCAATTGAAAGTAAATTGAAATCAATTGAAAGTAAATGAAAATCAATTGAAGGTAAATTAAAATCAATTGAAAGTAAATTGAAATCAATTGAAATCAATTGAAAAACAATTGAAAGTAAATTAAAATCAATTGAAAGTAAATTGAAACCTATTGAACATCAATTGAAAGTAAATTGAAATCAATTGAAAGTAAATTGAAACCAATTGAACATCAATTGAAAGTAAATTGAAATCAATTGAAATGTATAATTTTTTTCATTTCCAAATTATTGAGGCTCAGGTTCATGAAAATTTCCACATTAAAGAGGATCTCAGAATTGTTTGGGGGTCCCCCCTACACTAATCAGAATCGTACATTAGATTCATATTCCCATCATTCCCCAGGCAGCCAGCCATCCTTGATATGGATCCCATGCACCACGTCCCAGCCGTGCAGCACCACGTCCCCTGGCCCGCGCAGCGGTACGAAGAAGGCCCCCTGGGCCCCGTCTCCGGCGTCTCCGTCTGCGAGGCCGGCAGTGTGGACCCACAAGCCGCTGCCCTTCACCTAGGGCCATGGTCAAGTTACATGCTGATTTACTGGTGATTTAGTGGGAAGATGATGGGAATATGATGGGAATATTCATGGAATCTTAAATAAACCTACCATGACTGAGGATGGTATATGTAAACATAACACCTATAAAAATGCAGATGGCTTGGGGGTGGTCGATGCCATCGGGTTTATACCACATGAATAAGATCATCCCTTTTCCAATGGTGATTTATGCAACGGTGCTTTTTGTGGGGAATATCATGTATGATCAACAATCTGAGATATGGGTGTATCTGACAGTAAAATATACCCTCCTAAAAATGAGGATGGTTGTAGGGAAACTGATGGGAAACCATAGGATATGAGGTGTTTTTACATGAAGCATCAATGGGATTTTTGCCTTTTTTCCTACCCAAGTTACTTCTCAGTTCCACTTCCTGAGTTCTGGGATCCTCCATGCCGCTCCAAGTCACTGGTGTTAGGTCCAGCACCGCCGTGGCGAAGGCCAGGTGGTCGCTATGCGCCCGAAAGCTCCGCGCTGAACCAGCGCCGTAGTGGCGACCGTAGTGGCGCACGACCACCTGCGCCGGCGCCAAGGTGGCACAACCTGCGGCGTCAAGACATGGTGGATTTCTTTTTTAAAATATGTTTGTATATAATTAATTGTAATATATTATAATTATATATATACACTGTATGCCATATGAATGTCATATGTGTAAATGGTTTATCGTGGTTTTCTTGAATTTAAATTCATCTCTTCGTTTTCCAAGTGTATAACTTCCATCATCTCCAGCTCTGCCAGGCCGAGCTACCCAATGCCAGCTTCATGTAGGGCAGCAAGCGCTGCTCCAAAATGGGCCGAAAGAAGTCGGTCAGTGGGCCCTGCTTCCACTGTCCGTCCTTGACACCGGGGATGGGAAACTCCTGGGGGAATGGTGGGAAAACCGCGGGAAACTCATGGGCTCCTAGTCTGTTTTGAGCACTACACCAACACCCCCACTTGCACTGCAAGGCTGGAACTCCGCTGCATGGTTGCTGGATTTTTCCATGCACACCTCCAGGGGTTCTACATGGATGCAACTGACAAGTAAACTTTAAAACAGAACGTGTAAAATTGCTTTCTCACGATCTGACACGACCAACAGCGACACCTATAAACTTTGCGCATATTTGTTACATGTCAGTCAACTGAGACAATCCCGTCAAATTTTGTCAAAGAGGCAAGTAAACATACTGCACTTACAACCGCCAGCCAGTTTTTGTCAGTGAACTTTCCACCTAAAAATTGGCTCAAAATCTCAAAATCCGATCAAAAACGACAACTCAAAAAATAAAATCGCACAATTGAATCAACATCTTCCTGAAATCTTCTGAAAAGCATCACTTGCCAACACTTGGCACGGTGTCTTCACCGGATTTCCCAGGATCTCTGGCTTGCTCTCCATGTCAGTGCACCGGGCCAGGGCCAACAAATCATCCGCTTCTTTGGGGGTCAGAAGCTCACCTCATGTGCTCAAAATGGTCATCAGCTGCACGTTGAAATCAATGGATTCCCGCTTTCGTTAGGATAAATCCATGCTGGAAAGCATGGTTTCTACATGTTCTTACCAGTCACTGAAGTTTTTTCCAGATGAACACGCTTAAAAACTCAACAGGACTAATTAAATGACATCTTGACAGTGGTGAAACAGTGGCCCATTGTCAAAACATCGTAAACTGCCATCAAAACATATATCCCCAATATTCCCCAATAGCCAATAGCCTTCTTCGAGACACGACCACCACTGTTCCCATGGGATCCCATCCAGGCCACGTAGCAACCGCAGCCGCGACCGGCCCTGGCGGCCGTCGAGGTCCAGGACCTGCTCCGCGTAGCGACGGCCCTGGATGCGTTGGACGCGGTGCTGCCAGGTGCGGGTCGTGGAGAATGACCTCAGCGATGCCGCGGATGCCATTGGTCTTGTGAAACCTATAGATACCAATAGAAAGCGAAAGAAAAATGCAGAACCAGTCAAGTCCTATTGACATTTAGCATGGATAGCCTTAATACCCAGGGAAAATGAATGAAACATGGGAAGTTAAACCTATGATGAATGAATCTCATTCCAAGACTTCCTCATGAAACACCAACAAACGTCAAAAAAGAACAGTGCACCAGTTGAACATAGCCAACACATGCCTATGCCATGCTATATTTGTGCACCCTTATGGCATCTTCTTGACAGATTTCCTGGGGTACAAATGGAGTCATTGGCTCCCATGGATCAGGCCACAGGACCTGCAGTTGAGGCCCAAGGCAATCACCACCCATGGTCGCCATGGTCCCAGGGCCCATGGTGACCGCCATGGCTTGCGCCCAAAGGGCGTCGCCATCGGGATCGTTTAGATGATCAAGACGTCTGGACATCGAAAAATTGGTTGCCCTTATCCTTATGATCCCATGGGTTAATGATGGTTAACCAATGATAATCACCATTATTAACCAATGATATTATAAAATGGGAAAATCCACTATAACTGGCCATTTTCAATAGCTATGTTAAATTACCAGAGGGTATCCTTATTATAAAATGTGCTAATTGAAAGTGAGTGAGTTTTTGGCTGACTATAGTTATACCATGTTATACAGTACCTCATCCCAGGGGACCACGACTGGCAGCTCACTGCCGGGATGGCATGCCGTTCAACATCTTTTTGTCACGGTCCTTGAGCCGTCATGTGCGATGGTAGCCCCATGTGGATGTCTTTTATACAATGTATTTTAATACTTTGGACTGATTTAGAGGGTTTATTTAAGTTATGTTTTTCTTGGACGTGACATGTTTGGTCAAGTTTCCATCTTGGCTCACTACATCTGCACAGTGTCATCTCGAACCTTCCCACATCTGCAGCGTACCAACTGCTCAAGTAACATCTACCATTTCTGCCTGTCAAACCCTCAGTTTCCGCTGTTCAAAATCCAGCCATGTCTATCCATTTCAACATGTTCAACTATCTCTACTGATGCAAGTCCAGCAACTATCTCTAGTGATGCAAGTCCAGTAGCATCCATGAATATCATGAATGGTGACCCCCTCCTCCAAGAATGATGGCATCTGTCCCAAGCTGCCTGGGCCAAAGCCGCAACAAGGCCGCCAGTAGTAGGGCGGCATGTCTGCAGCTCGCCTCGGCAGGGATCCGGGAAAAACATCGAACTAAAGCTGGGGAATTTTCCAATGTGAAAATTGTTACCCTCTGGTAATTTGTTACATAGCTATGGAAAATCACCATTTTTAATGGGAAAATCCACTATTTCTATGGTCATTTTCAATAGCAAACTGTTAAATTACCAGAGGGTATACTTGAGACAGTCGATGTCTGTAAAATCCGCTTTACATGACCCTCCTCAATCAGCAGTAACTCTACTTCTTTCACAGGTCACCTCATTGCCTCATGTGTCGGTTGCCGCTTATGATGCAGATATGCAAAGCCAAAACATCAAAACCCAAAGAGTTTATAACATATGTATACATATGTAACAACAGTCACATGTTGTCTTAGTATCTAATCCCTTCCTCCTAATACTAAACCCCCCCCCTAATACAAAACACGGCAGGTAGTTTTTAGTATTAGGGGGGTATTTATTATTAGGGAACCAAATCGAAGTCATGTTAATTAATTAATTAAATTTCTTTATATAACGCAATTAAAATATTGCCAAAAATGGCAGTTCGAAGCTTACCCCTAATACTAAATTAAAACCCTTAATACTAAAAACTATTTTTTCCGATCTCAAAATCAATTAAATTTCCTTATATAACGCAATTAAAATATTGCAAAAAATGGCAGTTCGAAGCTTACCCCTAATACTAAATTAAAACCCTTAATACTAAAAACTATTTTTTCCGATCTCAAAATCAATTAAATTTCCTTATATAACGCAATTAAAATATTGCCAAAATGGCAGTTCGAAGCTTACCCCTAATACTAAATTAAAACCCTTAATACTAAAAACTATTTTTTCCGATCTCAAAATCAATTAAATTTCTTTATATAACGCAATTAAAATATTGCCAAAAATGGCAGTTAGAAGCTTACCCCTAATTGCTAAAGTAGCTAGGCAGCTTGGAGTGAGGGATTGGGACTAGGCCCCCCTAATACTAAACACCCCGGGGTGAACTAGTTTTTAGTATTAGGGGGGAGAACCCACAAATGGTAGGTTGATTTTTAAATTGTTTTTTAAAGGGGCTCAATTAAAAGTCAAATTGGCCAAACTGAAATTTTCGGAAATTGGAGATGGATGCCTGTTTTTAGTATTAGGGGGACGTTTAGTATTAGGAGGAAGGGATTACTGAATCCCATCCTGCTAAGTTGGAGACTTGATGTTGAACCATCCATTGCTTTGGAATCAATTTGCGGGATGTGCAACAAATCTGGAGTATCTCTTGTGAGAATTCACAAGGCTGAATAGTTTTGGCCATGAATCATCTACGAGGCGCCCGCCAGCGGAGATATCCATGGTAACTTCCCATTGAACATGCGACAGCAGCTAGGCTATTTGGCACGGATCGTATCTCTAGGTCCAGCGACAGGAGCATCCGCATTGCCCACCAGAATTCGGGGCCTCAGTTGCTCCAAGGCATGCCAAGAAAGCTGTGCTATCTTTGCTATGGTTTGGTGATCGGTAGTATTTCAACCCACCGAAAATCAGATCTTGACAGATCTGAGAACGGTAGTCTCTTGTCCTTTTTTCAGTACCTAAGAGCAACTTCCACTGCCCCTGCATTTCGTTTCAGAAGGCCCCATATGTCGTCCCATGCAATTGCATAACATCACCACACGGAAGAGATATGAAGAAAAATCACATGTTGAATGCAAAGGTTATGCTCGGTCCCAGCCACAAATTTCATCACTCTTCAGGAAACCGGGCCGGCTATGGCTATGACAACCATGGCAATGGTGGTTCAACAATCCTGGGTCACCCAAATCATCCATGACCTTGCCATAGGCCATAGGTAAATACAGCATCCATCGATGCTATAAGATATGGGGGTTTCAGAACCCCCAAATCATCCATTTGAATAGTATTTTCCATAACAGAACCATCCAGCTATTGGGATATCCCCATTTCAGGAAACCCCTGGGTCCCCTGGGTCACCCGCACCCCTCTCCCGCCATAATCTGCTCCCCCAAGGGAATCAGTTACTCGTCCGGCAGTGCCGCAAAGTGTGAGGTCTGTGAGGGGTGGGGCCTCGGCAAAGAAGGCATGGCAGGTGAAAACAACTGCGGGTCCTTGTATTTTTTGGGGGACAATTATGGGAAACATGATCTATCTATTGTGGGAAATCACTGTGGGAAAGTTATAACTTATGCGAAAATTATAAGTTCTGGGAATATTGTGATGGGTAAGATATGTATTTACTTTTCACACAACGCCCAAGAAAATAGAACAGATGGATACGTGGGATATTATGATTATTATGGGAAAACCATCATCTATACCCGCCTGGAAACACGTTGCTATGTTTATTGGGGCTACATAATAATAGCATATAATAGCTATTGCTGATCATTGGCAGGGAATTATTGAAATTATTGTTGATTATCACTACATAATTCTTGACTAATGGTTGACATGGAATGATCTGAAGGGGACCGTAGAATTGTATAATAATCCCAAATGGATTGACAAATGGAAAAAAAATCAGCAAATCCAGCCAATGGTTAATGTTGAAACATTGTAATCTATTTGCTTGTTCTTAGTTGTCAATGATCATCGATGAACATTGAGGATTAATTGGGCTGGAACTTTGTTGAGGAAGTGAAGATGTTTCAGCAAATTCTGATGATTCATGAATTGAAGTAGGCCCTTTATTTAAGCCATTTCTGGAGGATGGAGATGTAGCAAACATTGAAGCTGGCCACAATATTTAAACGTGGAAAAATGATGAAACATATGGAGACAACTTCCAACTTGCTCTGCAGAGCATTCTAAGTTCACAAGAAATCACAAGACCTGCTGTTTCGCAATGCAGGGAATTTTGAAGCAAAAATCACCTTGGAAAGGAAGCCGCGCACCATGTTTTGCTGATGAGGATGAGGCCAAGGATTTCAGATTACTGCAGAGGTATGCAGAGGTAGCCTGGCAAACATTAGCCTCTTGTAAACTAACAGTTTGCTATGGAAAATGGACCACTTATAGATGATTTACCTCCTCAAAATCGGGATTTTCTCTAGCAATGAAGGGTATTACCCTCTGGTAATTTAACATAACTATTGAAAATCACAACTTTTAATAGGTAAATCAGCTATAATTGGGGTATTTTCCATAACTATGTTAAATTACGAAAGGGGAAATCATATTGAAACACCACTCAATTTTCACGAGCCCAAGAGTTGAAGAAATGGGTGACCCTGCCAGTTCAGATTTTCTGCGGGGCATTCGGAAAATTCTACATCACGGATGCCACCGACCAAAACGGGAACAACTACTTGTGAGCTTGGGGTGATCACCAAGAACAAGTCAACATATCAACATAAATCAACCAAGTAAGCATCCTAAACATCCCACTCTTTGGGGATGTTTGTCAAAAAATCCCATCAACCTGAAGATTTTTAGTCCGAAAAACATGATTCTAACCCAACAAAACATCCGACTGTGGGATCACCTGTAACAGTGACTATTCTTAGATTTTTGTCGATCACTGCTGAAAGCTAAGCGGATTTATATAATCCCATGGGACGGTCCTGTTGAAAAATGGTCACCGTGCGAAGTTCAATCGGCTGATCCGAGATACAAGGGGCAATTCCTGAATAAAACTGTCCAATGAAAAATGACAACTAACAATTTAATCATGTTTAGTTTTGTTTTCTAATTAAAAAAAAAATATGGCAAAATATTATGATTCGTGTATGGTAGTGTGAATGTGTTCATCAGCATGGCAAAATATTGCTTGGTGTTAAGATGCACATAGATGCACTAAGATTGTTAGGATGTATTGAGATGTGTTAGGATGAATTGAAATGTGTTGAAATGTTAAAGTAATTAGTGTAATTGGGTACCCTCCGGCCATTAAACATGGCTTGTTGGAGAATACGCCATTTACTGAAAATCTTCCCATTGAAATTTCTATGGGGGAATTCCCAGCTAGTCATGTTTGATTGCCGGAGGGCTTCAAGAATTACATAATCCTTCCTATTCGGCATTATTTAACATCACTCTAATACCAATATTTAATACTAATACCAATATTTTGATTATGTAGTTCCAATGTCTATTTTCCTAATACCAATATTTGGACATTATTGTTCATCCTCTTTCTATGGTCCCAATATATCAATATGTGATTTTATCCCTTACATCCACAAGGGGTTCTGCGGGGTGTTTAATACGATAATAGTTGGTAAATTATACACCATTGTTGTATATGTATAAATATGTATATATACACATATATATATATCCCCATGAATATCCGATATCCCATTGAATCACCAGTTTTCATGTTTTAACCCTATTAATAATAAAAAAACAATTAAGATGTATTTAGTTGGTATACTATCTAATGATTAAACCCTATAAAACCCATAGTTGATGCTTGAACACTATTAAAAGTACAGTATGTTGATTGTTAATAAAATCGCCATTGTTGATCGGGGATAGGATTGGGATTGTATATCATTTGATTTGATGGTTAAACCCCTAAAAACACACTTTTTCATAGTTGAACCCTATAACACCTAATTTTTTGCTGGTTAAAACCCAATTTTTGGATGGATAAACCCAATGCTTTCTTAGTAAACCCTAGTAAACCCTATTAAAAACTAATTGTTTTATAAATTAAACCCTATTAAACCCTATTAAACCCTATAACATGTTTGATGAAGTCCCCTTTCCCAAAGTTCTCCGCTGGGCTCCCCGAACAGTTGCACCGCTCCGTCCGGCCGGGCGTCCAGGTGTCCTTCGCGCACGTCGATGACCGCCACGCTGCCCTGGCAACGATATATAGATACCAATAATAACTATGGGAACATAGGTATTTTGACCATTGGAATTCCATATATATATATATAATGGCAATAATATCCATATAATGGAATGTAGATTCCAATGGCAACGATATAGATATGGGAATAACCATTGGAATTGGGCATATCATATCCATTTAATCCATGGTTAATCCAAAAAAAACATATATCTAAACTTGTTCGTGGTTTTAATCATCTTGAAAAATATTAGTCAATGGATAGGATTATCCCATATATTATTGAAAATACAAAATGGTTGAAACCACCAACCAGATAACTATGGGAATAATCATTGGAATTGGGCATAGATAGCAAAGAAACCTGGTTATTATTCATTTGGGGGATCATGAACCTACATTGCCAGGATAATCAGGATAGAACCAATAATAACTACTACTCCGTAATTATATAATAACTACACTTTCATATGTTTTTTTCAGGTGTTCTTTAGGGTTTCTTTAGGATGTCTTTAATAACTACATTGCCAGGGAATGAAATTGGTAACAGAAATTGGGAATTATAAATTGTGTGTATATATGTATATATATGTAGCGATATATAAATTCAATAACTACTGTTCCCAATAGATACAGAACCAGGGAATGAAATTGCGAATTATAAATTGGAAAATAGATGGACATAGTTTATTTGGTACTATGATTTTTCTGCCAATAGATAAATGAACATGTTGGGAATAATAAGAAATAAAGGTGCATGAACAATGGGCTCTGAAATAGATTACAGTACTATAATGAACCTATGGGCAATAATGAACCTATGGGCAATGAGCATTCACTCAATTATAGTTGTATGGGCAATAAAAATGATGAGCCAATAATGTGTAGGTAGTCATACGGAAACGTTCATTATGAACCTATGGCCTCATGAACGGAAAAAAACATGTGAGCTTTCTTGTAGTGAAAATAAACGAATCCAAAGTCTAGACATTTCCAGAAAGCTGGAATGAAGCTATGGCTATGACCTCCTGGAAGTTCCAGTGCCCATCACAACAACACTGTGCGTTCGCACCTTGCAAAGTAAAACGGCCACCTGAGCAGGCAAAGGTTGCTGGTACGGTGACAGAAAGACACACCTCTCAGGTGCCGGGAATCCTTGCATCTTCAGAGGCAAAATTGGTCCTACATATGGCGGGTCCAAAGCCATGATCCTAACACATCCAAGCAAGTTTTTGGAGCCGGCAGTACGGTCTCAAGAGACCCCGGCTCCGCCTAGGGGTTGAGGGGAGTTTGCACATGGGATTGTTGCAAACAATAATATATCATAATGACCACGTTGAACAACATAGTAAACCAGCAGGCAAATAATGGGCACTAAGAATCATATATGTACTATCTATCATCCAAGCTAATTTTGTAATCTCTGTCGCGACCAATGTACTATTTCTCATCATCACCGTATGATGGGTATAGGTACCCCAAAAATCCAACAAACTATTTTAATTATGAATATGATATGTATAATAAGTGGACATAAGTGGCACTTATGTAGCCACAAAATGGTCACTGGGGACTTTACATGACTTTACCACTGAAATGCTCATGTTCAATGTGGTCAATGTATAAATGGTGGAACACTCTATATTTATTGCGTACAGTAAATGGGTTTGTCTGAAAATAGGGTATATTCCCAATTATAGCCATTTAGTAGGGATAATGATCATTAACCATTGGCTTTAGGGGTACACTATTTTCAGACAAACCCAAATGCTCATGTTCAAACGCAGCCGAAATTTGGCACGGCTCTCCCAGTGTCACCTCAGACGCTTCGATGGGGAGCGGTTCGTCGGAATGGATCTTCTTATTCTTTTTGTAGGTTCCAGCCTTGGGCGCCCCCAGAGTTCCAAGTTGCCCCAGTAGCCTCTGGTATCATCCAACATGGCAAGCTAAGCTGGGAAATCCAGTAGAAATGAAGGTTTTACGCACTAGGAAAATGAACTATACATTGGATATGTTCCACTATACCTGCCGTGAAACATAGACTTGACCTGTAGATATGTGAATTCTACTTAGCTATCTAGGTGGGGGGAGGCCACCTTGTGTGGCCCTTGGGGATCCTTGGAAGTCAAGAGAATTCCAGATGCTCCCAATCGCTCCCAATGGCCACTCCTCAATCGGTCCAGATGTCAAGGGGAATCCCGGGCAAATCACCGAGCAGCTGCTTCTTTGGCTAAGCGCTCCGAAACTTTGCGGCACTCAGCAGCAGCCTGGTGTTGTTGATTGGACAAAACCCTGTGATCCTGTCATGACTAAGCTCCGATACCCCCCATGTCTGTAAGAGGTCAATCTTTAGTGAGATCGATATTCCTCCATGTCTGTTAGATAGAGGTATCCAGTTGTTGATCCTGAATCCCATCATTTAAGCTGGACACTCTGAATAGTCTCATCCTCCATATCTATCTAGTATGCCTATTAATTATATCGTGATCATAAAATCTATCTCATTCTATTTGTTGATTATTATGTTCACTGCTACTGTAATGGTTTGGCTGGATTATTCTCAATATACGTACATATGCATGTATGCATATATTTATACATACATACTATATATATATATATATATGTGTGTGTGTGTGTGACTGTACACGTGTATAATATATCTATATAATTAATTTAATTCTAACATATATATATGCTACCCCCCCCTGATACCCACCTTGAGCGGCCTGCATGCGTGCAGAGCGAGCATTGACATGAATATGTTGAAGACATTTGCCAGCAGATGATGGATCAGGAAGGACATGAGAATCAGATTATTGAAGCAGATGATTGAAGCAAATAGACGTGAAATTTACATAGGAAGCCCACAGATATGCGATGGCAGCAAAGTCAAGAAGGTTAGAACACAGCAGAAGGTGCTAGCAGCGACGCGCTGATTCTTTTGAACTCTGCCCCGCTGTGGTGGCTGGGCTCTCTAGGCCTTCAACAAGAACCACTGAACAAGAGAACCCGTTGCCAACCACAGATCGTGCCCCCTATGCCAGTACTCATACTGAGCAGAGCGCAACCGGATGCGCAGAAGACTGCTGCCAACTTTGCAGTTCTGGTTGATGTTCAACCGGTCTTTGAGGAAACGCCAGCATCTGTCAATGATCTGGGTGCCTTTTTTGACTGTGATTGCCTTCTTGCTGCCGGGGAGGACATGCTCGTGCAACTCCACATACTTTGGAGTGAGCCATTTCCATTCTCCATTGACTTTCACCCGCTTCTTTTTGTGGATGACCCGGTCATGGAGGACACCCTTGACTTTGATGGCATAACTTTTTGCCGAGTCGGTGTGGAGAATAATGTCACGGTGTTGAAGCCATTTCACAGCCAATGGTTGCCATTCAACTTTTCGAATAGCACCGGGGCCTGGAGCGCGAAGTTTGGAGATGACTGGCTTCAAGCGATGGAGGACAAGCGTCTGAGGTTTACCTCTTTGGACAATGCCGCACCGCTGCTCCCAGTGCAGCTGTCCATTCACGACCTTCTTGTCAAACGTGGCTTCATCGGCTTCCACGTCCTGCCATTTTCCACCTTGCCCAAATTTGATGTCCTTCTCCTTGTTCCTGACCCACCTTTCACGTAGCTGGCCTAATCTCTTCTCCATATCCTCAATGCTCTTATGGTTCACATGCAGGAGGCGATGGATGGTGGGGTGGGAAACACGGTTGAGCAGGAGCATCAGTAAACATGCCTGGGTGGCAAGCGGTGTAGAAGAAGAGCCCCAATGATCCACAAAAATGGGGTGAGCATGATGCGGGTTGATGTAGGTGTGGCATTTCTTGGCACTGCATCTATGCTTTAGTAAACCTCCAAGTTGTTGAAGGCCACCAAGGGTGCCACGGCAGCATCGCGGACAGACATGCCCTTCCCATTTATGAAGAAGTCCATCTTCACGAAGCATCTTCACCAAAGTAGATGGAGAGCTTTGCAAAATTTGTGCCAAGGAGCGCTTCCATTTGCAGCGGTCCATGCGAACTTCAGGAACTGCATCAGGGGATCGCACATACTTCACTTGCTTCCATGCCTTGGTCTTCATGCTCGCAGGCCGTTTCAATACAGCACGTAGCTTACCTTTCTTGGGCACGGGAAAGTTGTTGAACTTGGACATGGCAAGGCGCAATTTCGGAGCTAGGCAGAAACCAAACAGCTATAACGAGTGACAAAATGGAATCAGACACTGAATTTGAATGAGCAATTAGGTTTGGTATGGTGCTGGTGGACTTGGAGTGGAATGATTTGCAAGCGCTTGCAAGCATGAGGGTAGACAAACTCAGTTCCGTTGACAAAAGAAGCTCTGGGACAAACTTTTTCCCCAGATATGATCAATGCGATAGCTGTCTATCCGGAACGACAGCATGTACGCAAGCTATTGCACGTGAAGTACACGCACAATAAATTGGTGAAGCTACAGTAGCTACTCCTAAGCATCAAGAGTGCCTAGCGCATGAGCTGCCTCTTCATCTGCAGCGGTGTCTAGCAGAGCAGCTTCAAAGTCCATCTCATCATTGGTGCCATCCTCCAAGACAGCAGTCTGTGCCTCGGCAGCCTGAGCCAACTCTTCCAGCTCTTGAGACACAGGTGTTGCTTTCCTCCGCACACGGCGGCCAGGATAGACAAATGGACCAACACGACGACCAGAACAATGAGTTCCAATGGGTGGCACAGGACGAGCAGCCAAAGGCACCTGGTCGTCGTCATCCGACGATGGAGAGCCTGGAAGAATGCGGATGTCCTGAGATCGGAACAGTGCATCTTGAATCTTGCCGTTGACGAACTCAATGTAACCCTGGACTTCCTCATACTCTGCCATTGTGTTCATTGCCTGCTCCAGCATCCTTTGCTCTCGCCCTACATCAGTATCAAAAGAGGGGCCAGTTTCCATGGAGCCTGCCTTGTACTTGCCATAGAAGGGCTTGTCTTTGTCAGCCAGCAAGTCTTTGTGCAAGTCGTCTACACAGATGCGGTGGATGATGGCCTCCTTATTCTCACTGGGCAAGCGCAAGTATAGAGCCATACCGGTGAAGACGAAGATGATGGAACGTTTCAGAACAGCCAGAACATCTTTTTCCTTCTCCCCGGCCAACAAGTCATCCAGCATGACCAGAAAGCGTCCTGGAGGGAGAGTAGTTCCAATCTTTTGCTCTTCCTCCAAGTCATCTTTCAGATCATTGGAGGCATAGGCCCGCAACTGATTCCTGATGAGGCGGGTATCATTGTAGCGGGACTCAACAGTTCCATCCTCATCCACAGTCAGGAAACTTTTCAAGTCAGCCATGCTCACTTTGGCGCGGCAAGGGTCATCAAGGAACAAGGCTTCTTGAACGCGAGGAGTGCGGTGACGAAAGTTGTCCAAAGACTTGGCCCTACGCCACCCAGGTTTCAAGTTTGTATCACCACTCAGGCGTACATGATACCTTCCCAGGGCCATTGCCAAGATCACAACAAAGGGAGTCTTGCCAACTCCTGGACACCCCAGCAACAACACGCCAAAGTTGAGCATCAAGGGGTAGAGGAGAGGCAAGAGGGCTGAGTGTAAGAAGGGCTTGAGGCTGTAGGTAGTCAAAGGGAACTCTGTCATGCTCACGGCTCCCGCTTGTCCTCGACTTTTGTTCTGGCACATGAGCCGAACCTTTGGCTCGGGCCAGCTGGCAATTGGCGTGCCGGAGTCGGACTTGATGTTTATGAGGATCCACAGGGTCTGCTCATTTTGTGCGTCACACTCTGGTGCATGCGCGTTGATGAACAGAACGCCTTCCTCAAGTTCAGCATTTGATGGGGACCATGAAGGTTTTGGTGGAGCACTGTCTGCAGTCTTCTCTTCTAAGACATGCCAGCGGAGCTGATAACCACCAAGTTGACCCTTTCCATGGGCCTGCTCGATGGACAGGTAAGTGCATTTTGCCACTGCAGAAAGAACTGGCTAGTTGGGAAGAGATCGGACGGGACGTGTAGATCACCTTCAGGACTTCAACCTTACCATCGTCCTTGCTGACATGGATGAAATCAACCTTGGATCCTTCAGGAAGAGGGGCTTTGAATTTGATGGCTGCTGGAAGGCCTTCCACATCTGACTCGGAGAGCTTCTTGGAAGTTTCAGCAGGGTCTCCACAGGCTTCCATGGACAAATGGACATCAAAGACGAGCCTAAAGGGCTGGACCTTGACACATTCCCGGCAAGCCTCCGCAATGAACTTGTCCATGGCCAAGGGTGTCTCACAATCAATGGGACTGTGGTCTGGCTTCTCTAAGAGACGTAGAAGCATCTGTTTGCCAGCCAGGTCTGCAATGGCCGTGTCCATCAAAGCGCCGGACATTTTGGTCAAATTTGAGAGCAACGATTGCGGGACAGGGCTAGAAGGCCAGGCTGAGCCAAATGTCACACAAGAAAGCAGATGTGAGGCAAGCAGAAGGAACTAATGTGCAGCAGACAAGCGCAATGTTTTGTTTTTGTTGTTTACGTTGCGGTTTTGGATATACAGCTAGGTTGGAGCTATGCACTATCTTACTTTCCCTGTATACCCTTCCTTTAAAGACAGCATACCTGCATCATGTCACCCTAACCCCAACTAACAATACTATTGTCACGCTGCAATAAGATTCCTTTTGTTCACCGCACAGCCGCTATCTAGAGTCCAATGCGAATCTTCAAGGCAGCGATCTCGCCCTTCAGCTTCGCATTCTCCTTGGCCAACTTGTCTCGCTCGGCTTTCACACGCATAATCTCTTCCTCGATTTCCTGGTGGCAGGCAATGGCATCGGAGAACTCCAAATTTTCGGCTTGAAGGCGGGTGATCTGTGCAAGAAGCTTTTCGGTGGTGGTTCCAGAAGACTTGGCAGATACATTGGATGACTTTGATGCCTTAGATGCTCTGGAGGGTGCCTTGGATGACTTCGATGCCTTAGATGCTCTGGAGGATGCCTTGGATGACTTCGATGCTGTAGAGGACGCCGCGGACGCCTTCGAAGAAGATGACGAGGACGATGATGATGAGGAAGATGACGACGAAGAACGCTTGCGCTTGGGCTGAGGAGGAAGATGCTTCATGTCCTCGAGTGCCAGCTGAGGAGGTGATGAGGGATGTGCTTGGGCTGCCTTCTTTGGTTTGGCGAGGTTGGTCTGCAGCCTGCATGTGGCATCTTGGGTCCATACTCCACTGATGCCGGTGGGGATGCCCAACTGTTTCTGGACACAAACCATTGCTGAAGCCAAGACCTTTTTGTTCATAGGGAGTCGTGACGAGTGAACATCCCAGAGCTGAACATCCTCAACGGTCGGACGAGGAGCCTGAACGTAGACCACCTCCACGCTTGCAGGTTTCAAGCGCAATGTGGCTGAGCCATTGCTCAAAGAGACGCTGCCCTCGATTGGAAATTGCATGTTTGTGACCTTTTTCTAGTCAGAGACTTTTTTCGGATGAGATAGGCGGCTGCAGAGATGAACAGTGATGTGCTGAACTGAAAGTGTCTGATTAGAGTAACTGTTTCTCAGACCAGGTTTGACACCACCAAATCCCAGGCGCCTCTGCGGTGGTTTGTAGATGGCTTTGGAGCAGTTTGCCTGAGCAACTTGTTTGTGTGAGTTTTTTGACAGATAAGTTTGCACCTTGAGGTACTGACCAGGTTTGACACCACCAAATCCCAGGCGCCTCTGCGGTGGTTTGTAGATGGCTTTGGAGCAGTTTGCCTGAGCAACTTGTTTGTGTGAGTTTTTTGACAGATAAGTTTGCACCTTGAGGTACTTAGGCAAATTGCACGCAGACAAAAATTGCAATTTTTTGCAATTTCCAGACCCCAAATTAAAAGATTCAAAGATTCAAAGATTCAAAGGTTGAAAAGAAGTTCTTTGAATCGAAGCCCCAGACCCAAAATTCAAAGATTCAAAGATTCAAAGGTTGAAAAGAAGTTCTTTGAATCGAAGCCCCCAAAATTCAAAGATTCAAAGATTCAAAGGTTGAAAAGAAGTTCTTTGAATCCAAGCCCCAGACCCCAGATTCAAAGATTCAAAGATTCAAAGATTCAAAGGTTGAAAAGAAGTTCTTTGAATCGAAGCCCCCAAAATTCAAAGATTCAAAGATTCAAAGATTCAAAGGTTGAAAAGAAGTTCTTTGAATCGAAGCCCCAGAAGATTTTCAAAGATTCAAAGATTCAAAGGTTGAAAAGAAGTTCTTTGAATCTTTCACTTGGGGTTTGGGGCTTCGATTCAAAGAACTTCTTTTCAACCTTTGAATCTTTGAATCTTTGAATTTTGGGGGCTTCGATTCAAAGAACTTTTTTTCAACCTTTAAATCTTTGAATCTTTGAATCTTTGAATTTTGGGTCTGAGGCTTCGATTCAAAGAACTTGTTTTCAACCTTTGAATCTTTGAATCTTTGAATTTTGGGGGCTTCGATTCAAAGAACTTCTTTTCAACATTTGAATCTTTGAATCTTTGAATCTTTGAATCTGGGGTCTGGGGCTTGGATTCAAAGAACTTCTTTTCAACCTTTGAATCTTTGAATCTTTGAATTTTGGGGGCTTCGATTCAAAGAACTTCTTTTCAACCTTTGAATCTTTGAATCTTTGAATCTTTGAATTTGGGGTCTGGAAATTGCAAAAATTGCAATTTTTCTCTGTGTGCAATTTGCCTAAGTACCCAAATTATTTAACCACATAGTACCAAGTGACGTGCAAGTGTATATATATATGTATACATATATATATATACATACATTTATTTATATATATATACATACATTTTTTACATACATATACAGTAGATCATTAAAAACCTACTTCTTGAATCAATGTGAGGTGGGTATCAGGGGGGGGGGGTACCATATATATATATATATATATATGAGTGGCGGACAAAATTATTTACTACCCGCGATGGACATGGCCAAAGTGGGTGGTCCCCTATCGGTTGTGAAGGTTTGTACTTCCATGCTATGTCCAAAAATAGGGTATCGGATGGTATCGGTAAGTGGGTGGTCCCCTACCGGCTGTGAATGTTTTCGCGCAAATTTGAACATCCCATGTCCAGTCCCACTACTTTAGTCTTCCGCTAATTTTGTCGGTTACTCAATGTTACTCATATATTTACCAAACATAGCAATGAATCATTCAGTCAGTGCAGCCTCCAAGATGCGTTGTGATTTCGGGCCAAAGAGCCACACAGGCGCCCTGACTCCAGCTGACGACAACAAACATGGGGATTCAACGGATTGATTAGCTCACGGGAAAGTACAAACTTAAAACCGTGGTGTTTACAATGAAAAATGCCCTCTGGTAAACGTTTAGTTATGGAAAATCACCATTTTCAATGGGTAAATCCACTATAAATGGCCATGTTCAATAGCAAACTGTTAAATTACCAAAGGGTAGATCAGTTTCCGACAAAAACGCGCCCACCAATTCTTTTTTTTTGGACCTCCATGGGCCGAATGATGAACCAATCTGGACCTATGGATTGCCTATGGGTCAACAAGAAGGACGAGCAAATCAAAGGTTTAATGATGTTCACCTCAAATGGGACATGGATGATTTTTCAACCAAATTTGCTATCAAAGGCCCTGGGCCAATCTGGGCGATTTTTGATCCATACTGACAGCCTGACATGTTTCTTCGCTACACCGATCATGCTAACCTTCACCAGGGTGCTCAACTATCATCATTTAGATTGCCCACGGCCGTTTTGGGTTCATTCCCACGGTTTCATACCTAAGGATAGTGAAGCGAGCTACTTAACAACATATTTTTTCGTACAGATTGGCCAATGGACATGCGATTGCCCATGGTATTCTTCATGATTCATGGTTGTCATTCGCTTCAGATATGCCTATCCCCTTCAGATATACCAAGACATACCAAGTATCCAGATCATCCATGCAGGGTATGTGGCATTCAAATCTGTTGTTTCTATTCATGTCGTATCAAAAATTCAAATTTCTCCCAAAAATAAACCCAGATTGACGCATCTGCAAATGAAGCAACTCAAGATAACGCCACGCAAGACTTAGTCCGTGTTCAACCCTCAAAGTCAGGTTTTACATAATGTAGTCTTACATAGTCTTACATCAGTTTCTATTCATTATAAGGTTTTTCCGAGAGATAAGATGTCTCATGATTTGTCCAAACATGACTTTAGAAAATCGATCTCCAAAGTGTAATTCCCCACGGCCGGCGGCCCGGAGAACTGTGCCAAGCCCTGACCTGCCCGGGAGCCAACCCACTTTGGGTTTGTTGCCAGTGATACCTCGGCAACTGTGGTCGATTTCTGGGGCGAAATCCCCGAGGAATGGAGGATTTCACCGGGATAATCATCTATAAATATCTAAATGGTGGCTATAATCATAGTTATTACCATCATCAATAGTGGTACCACTTTATTTTTCTGACCCTGGATTAATAAACCCCAAACGGCTGTTTAATTGGGAGGGTACCATTTAAGTATCAGATGAAATGACTATGGGAGGAATACCCCCTAATTAATAAACCATGGTTTATTAATCCGGGGTTGACATTATAAACAATAATGGGAACAAATGACAATCATCTATAAATAGCTGAAAATGATGATATTATCTACAAATAACCAAACAAAATAAGTGTGGTATTTTTAAAAATCCATGTTTGATTACAGGAGGGTATCCCGTTCTATCCACTGGTTAATCATCATTTTTCTCTATTAAAATTTCGATCTACAGCATCTGGATAACTGGTTGGTGGTTTCAACCCCTCTGAAAAATATGCTCGTCAGTTGAGATTATTATTCCCAATATATGGAAAAAATGTTCCAAACCAGCCCAGTGAATAATCATTCACCTAAAAAATACGGCGAGAGCTGGGGCTGCGACTGGCTATGGGTTCTAATCCAGAATCTGCTACCTGAATCGATGGCGCAAGTTTCTGCATGGCGTTTCTGCCCCATGATTTTGTTCACTCCGGAATCACTATAGGCAAGTTGAAAATGTTTGTCTGTGATGGTGTCCCAAGTACAAACGCCATACCATCAGAAGTATAGTAGAGCTAGTGACATGCTAACTGGTACCCTAGGGTCGAGGGTGAACAAACGTGTGGAAAACCAATCCTTTCCGAAAAGAAAATTTACAAATATGGTGGATGTTCCATTGATCTTCCATTCAAGTTCCATTCGAATTTCCATTGGTTTTCCAATTTTTCCAAAGGTTTTCCATAGATGATTTTCCATTTTTTCCATGATTTTTCAATTTTTCCATAGGTGTTCTACAAATATGGTGGTTTTTCCATTGGTTTTTCCATTGATTTTCCATAGATGTTCCACATCTATGTTGCGCAACACCCCATCTGATCAGCAAGAAAGGGCCGTCTCGGTATACCGAGGTCACCGAGGTCCGCGCGTAGGATGGCACCAGCCACCTCCAGGCTGCGGTGGATATCCCCATGGTTTTGACTGGCTTTGGATCTTTCAAAAAAAACCTTAAAAGTCAGCTTAAAATATGCTAAAAATCATCCAAAATCCCAAAAATTGTTCTTTTAGATCTTCCTAGTTTTTCACCATTTGTCTCTGGATTCTTGCGGCATCTTGCGGCCTTGGCGAAAAATCCGAGATCCATCTGGGCTCCCCTGGCGTGACGTCCGGCCGCCGGCCGTAGCGCTCGACATAGGCCGACCACGCGCCCTGACCTGAGCCACTTGGGTGATACGCAATGGAAAATCATGGAATACGCAATGGAATTTAACTATATGTATACCCTCTGGTTATTTAACATCGCCATGGTATAGATGGCCCATAGAAATAGATGGTTGATCTATAAAAAATGGGTGGATCTTTCCATGGCTATGTTAAATAACCAAATGGTATATACGTATATATATATATATTATGTATTAAACAAAAATGATGTATTGATTCCATGATATATTGATTTATATTTGGTTTATTAAATTGTACATGTGCAATGGAATACATATATAATTAAAACTATAACTCTTTATGTATTGTATAAACAATCATGATGCTATATGATTGACCATCATCCACCGTAACTATAAAATGATGTAGTTTGTTGATTGACCACTATCCAAATATCTCAATATGATGTTAGCCGTTATATTTACTTGTAATGGGATAATTAATATGTTACAATTTACTGTGATTTACTGTGATTTTGTTTACATCATATAATATTTATCATTTACTTCCATGGGAAAATGGACAATGGACTAGTGGCTATTCATGGATGTAAATGGTGGTTAAGGTGTAAATGTCATGGGATTACATGGAATCCATTGGGGATCGCATGGATCATGATTAAAAGCTAGAATCGATTCATGGCAAATTCCACCATTTGTAAATCATGTTCGTTTCGAAAAACGCCACAAACAACTTGGCTATAGCTCTATGTTGGTCGACTGGGGGCCAGGCTCTTTGGTGCCCAGCCGCTGCGCGAATGCCACACCTCAAGTGGAAAAAATCGATCGTTTCTTGGGCACCGATGGGAAACCATGCCTTTTCCCAGCACAAATGGCTTTAGAACGTGCAAAATTTCGCTTAAATCAATCAAATGATTGAAGATGGAACGCGGTTTCAAGGTAAAAATGCCAAGATATCCGAGCTCGCAGGTTGTTTGTTTAATACGTGACCCGGTTACACACTACATCTGCAGTTACGAATCGGCCTCATGTTGGGAAAAACGGGAGCTCACTTTGCCAAGTCATCATTCACTATCCCAAGATATACACTAGTCTTCCAACGAAAGATTAAGAGCCAAAAAGCATCAAGAAACAGTCAACCATAAGTATAACAGTATACTACAGTATATCATAGTAGATCAGTATATCATAGTATATCTTTTTTGTCAAGCGAAATGCAGACCAAACAGCGGCTGTATGCACTACACGTCAGCAGTGTTAGAGTGAATTATCAAATTCCCCGGAAAAACAGTTTGATCCCATTCGTCGCGGTCCATTGCTATTGGGGAGAGCGTGTTCCAGATCGCAGTGGTATCATACCAGTCTGCAAGGGAAGGTCCAAAATATATGTGAACCATGGGCTGAGTGCCTGTGGCGTACATTGGATGGGAAATTTCTTGGGTGGTGGGATGCTGATTTCTTCTAAGTTGCTCAGAACGGTGAAAAGCTTCTGAGAATTTCTGAGAGAGCAATTTCAGGCCAATGCGCCCTAGGTCTCTTCTCCATAGTATATCTATCTCAAAATAAGTAAAAAATAAAGTAAAAAAATGTCTGTTTCTTGGCATGTGCTGCAACCGACCTTGTGCCCGTGCCGTGCCCAATCCATCCCGCAGCTTCCCGGCCATGAACGGGTGCGAAAACGGCAAGCCGTCTGGGAAGTCGCCAAGTGCCTCGGTTGCTGCACTGGGGCTTTCTGAAGGCTAAAAAGATCTAAAAACCATGGTTGAATGAAAGTTTATAGCTGCTTTATTTATAGCTGGCTAAACCCATCTATAAATGAAGGTTTTGATGATTTTATAGCTGGGAAGATCATAACTTACGATTTATAGCTGGCAAAACCATATATCAATGGAGGCTCATAGCTGGGAAACTCATGTTTCATGACACCGCATGGTATAGAAAATGATGAAAATGTTCAACCTCAAATGGATTTAACATTCTTCAAAGCAATTACTGTAGCTGCAGTTAGTTTTGAACCACCCTTCGGTAATCAAGCCTGGCTAGCTGGGAAATCCCCGAACTAAATGGCCATTGAAATGGGAAAATCATCTGTAACGGTGGATTTTCCAGCAAATGATGTGATTGATTATTCCATTAAACCTCCATGCATCCCATTATATCCCATGAATGAATTTCCGGTAAACCAGAAGTAATTTCCATGAATCATCATGCAAGCACTATAAAAATCTCATTTAATATAATTTAATCACATTGAATCACTACAGAATCCCATTAAACCCCATGAAATATATACCCTCTGGTAAACTAACATAACAATAGAAAATCACCATTTTCAATGGGAAAATCCACTATAAATTGTCATTGTCAATAGCAAACTGTTAAATTACCAGAGGGTAACCATTCATTCCCCATAATTTCCCATGAAATCACCCTAAAATCGTGAACAAATCAACAGATTCCAAGATGTTGCCATCAACAGCATGTAACGTTTAGGCGAAGCGGCCACCGTGGTTCCACGGGAATGTCGTTCCGAGGACCTCAGCGGATGTTGGACTGTTGGTTGGTGGTCCAGCGAGGACAACTTGGGGGCACAAGCAATCAGCAATCAATCAGCAATCAGATGGATAATTGATTGATTGAACAATTATTTGCCATAGCTATGTAACATACTTAATACCATAATATGTGACATATTTATTTTCCATAGCTATGTAACAAATGTGTCAGAAAAGGTAAAACGTTAACGTGTGAGGGCGTACGGTCTTTCATACTACCCCACGTGGTAAACTTGCACAGGGCGTGGTTTCTTATTGGTTGTGACAGGAAACTCTTTTCATCTCGCTTCAGTTTCATGTCAAGTATCAAACATGGCTTGCCGGAAAACCCACCATTTAGTTCCATGATTTTTCCATGATTTTTCCGATTCAACGCTTTTTCTCATTGTTACCCTCTGGTAATGACCATTTATAGTGAGTTTTCCCATTAAAAATGGTGATTTTCCATAGTTATGTTAGTTTACCATAGTTTACCAGAGGGTACTGTAGTTAGTTCGGGGATTTCCCAGCTCCGGAGGATGACCTCCAGCCTCCGGGAGCGGTAGTCACGAGTTCCCGTGCATTGACAGCGGTGCTTGCACGTAGCGAATGCCCTCCACCTGGCAGGAACCGCTGTGAAGTACGTCCGATCATGTCAGAGGGTCGTTGAATTATATGGGTTTATATGGATTTTTATGGATCTGATTTAAATGGATATCGATTATATAGAATATATATATATATGTGTGTGGATTCTAAAGCAGTTATATGAATTTATAACGATTTCATACTACCCATTTCCATGGAATAGTGTTTTTTTGGAGGAAACTGGGTCTAAATCGCTCCACTAGTCTTGTCAAGATATTCGCCCGTCTTAGGATCTCCCATGTAAGATTGGCTGGCTGGTGGCGGCATCCGCCTCCAGGTCATAACCGAAATGCGTGTGGCCAAACACCTTCCCAGGGTGGTCCGCGAGAATATCACGGCCAAGCGGGGAACTGGTGATGATGCTGATCATTATTATTAATGTAAATCTCCAAATGTACTACTATACACACAAATATAATATATCTATATAATCGTTTATATAACACATGAATCTATATAAATCTTATATAAAACTTATAGACCTATAACAAATGAATCTATAATATATCTATATAATCATTTTATAACACATGGTGATGATGATGATGATGATGATGATGATGATGATGATCAAACAATTCTCAGTTATTGCCACAATACGGTTCCCGGTCCTCTGTCATCTGGGAAAATGTCTGATATGTCTGAAAATCCAACAGAAACAGGTGGCAAACTCGGGTCATGTGTCCTGGGTTGGCTTCCCACAAATCCATCATCCCATGTTAGTAATATCCCTCTGTTTGCTGGTTGAATCTCAATTTTTGCTGTAATTCCATGTAATTCCCATAATCTTGGTGGTTTTTTTTGTCTCATTATTGTTAATTGTTATTGAAGATTTTGTCCATAATCTTAGATCCATGTAATTCCATGGTGTAATTCCCAATCCATCAGTTCATGATCTTCAAATCTTTTGGATTTCTGGGACCATTTCCCCATCCACCAGGTCACCATGGCTCGCTTATTGATCGGGGCGCATGGAGGTTCGGGCGCAACTCCTCCACCCGTCTTCGGAGGTAGTCCGAGCCGATGCCTTTGGCCTAGGCTTAGCTGGTGACTTTTTGAAGGCCCCTTTTTTTGCCACGAAAAATGGTGACATGTAAGGCACAAAAACCAAGGCACCATGGCATTTCAATTGAATTATAATATATAATTATAATTGGGTCTGCGAAACCCATCATTTCAATTATAGTATATTATAGTATACCATCATTAACCATCATTTAACCATCATTTCAGACTATAATTGAATTGAATCGCCGTTTTTGTGGTCTGCGAAATGATGGTTAATGGGATTTAATGGGATTTATGATCAATGATCATTATCGCCATTATCGCATACTCTTTATCAATAGAATGGGATTTATAGCTGAAAACAATTCCGTTGACGATGTATGGCTGTGATTTAGAACTGGCTGAGTTCTATGGTTTTTAAGCATGCCTCGTGGGGCCCACCTAGCACAGTGCGAATCTCATTGGCCATGATGATTCTCTCATCACCATTGATATTATCTACTCCAAATATATCAATGTACCATTAATATTTACATCTGATGTGTTCAATTTACAACACTTCGTCTGGTTGTTTCTCTACCGTTTCATCATATTTCATGTTCACCTCCTCGATGAAAAGCAAACTAGCTGCTGGTCCAAGCACTTGAGGATGGCACGAGGTTCGGATAGGTCAGGTACCTCTTCTCCGGATTATTCTCCACTCTTGGCAAGAAGTGTGAGAAGGACAGAACCTGCACCAACACAGAATGAGGGAACAAAACTGGGGGCAGTGGATGCATGAAAGGTTGCCTCAAACCGTTGATATTTGGCAAACAACTGCAATCATCGGCTGGGGAGATTCTGAAAACACACCATTTCTGGAAAACAATGGCAATCATGTTGGGGGTAGTTGAAACTTCTGCGCATTGTTGGCTTCTGTGTGTTTTGCTTCAATTGAACGAATGGGACGTCAGATGACGTCAGTGTATCAATGCCATGGCCTCCTGGTATTCGTGTCTGCGTTGGAGCAAGTCGATCCAATCAACCAACTCATCGTTGACTTTGTCCTTGGCGGACTCATATCACAGCTGGAACTGCGGTGAAGAAATGCCAAAGAATGCAATGACCAAGGAATGAGAATCTATTGGGAGATGATATAGATTAGATATATCATATTGATGCATACGGTAATTAGAAACAACAACATGATGTTTGGGTGTGAAAATGGGGAAAACATAGGAAACCACAGACCACCCAATGGCAATCTTGAGAGCTTGTGTTGTTTGGGATACGCTGTTGGTTACATTCTGAGGTCGACCAGTGACACGCCCACCATGTAGACAAAGAGCCATCATGGCGAGGGCGATGGCCAGTAGCCCATATATCATTCAAAAAACAACAACTTCATTGCCCTCAAATTGGTGCTTGGGTTGGTTTGGCGCAAGATCTTCTATATTTCTACGTGTGTGGATACATGGCCAATCTTCGTTGATACCTGTTCAACATAGTTTTTGGCTTGTTAGCACGGTTCGAACATGTACACATCCAATTCACAAAGATTGGATGGAATGTGGGATTCACTCAATCCCATCAACCATCCCGAAGTCATCAGCTGAATGGGTGGGATTTCAACCATCCCCAGTCATGGTAGTGTGTATGTTTGTTACTGTACATATTCCCCCGAATATTCCATAATAATCCATATTGTATAAATTGTAAAATATTCACATTAAATCGCCATTAAATTACCATTGAATTTCCATTCTCATTGGGTTCCCCACATTACCAAACGTTCCCAAAAATCCATTGCTGAGCTACTATAGCCAGGGCTGCAGAACCGTCCTGCCAAAACGCTTCGGCGCTTCGGATGGCTTGGGTGAAAAAAAAGGCTTAGGAATGCTGACAGGATGGTGCCCCCCAGTTATAAATTGGTTTATAAACCCATTATCACTGGATTGGTTTAAGGGAAAATATACAGGAAACCATGGTTTTTACCATCAAATATAGGGCTTTCCTGTAAATTTTCCCATCATCCAATTCTATGACATTAACATCCATTAACTAGTTCGTTATATCTACCATAAACCATAGTTAAGCCACTTATAAGGCAACTGAACGCTATCTTGGGGGCCCCATCCTGTAGGACCTTAGGAATAGCTCCTATTAAAAATGTTCGCGAAATGTTGGGTCAAATGCAGGGAACACATTTTTTCTTACATCCTATTTCCTGTTTCATGGATATGAATGGAGATTAATTGGAGGGTTAATGCGGTGCTAGTTTTGATTGATGGATATGTTTGGCAATTTTAAGGGAAAAACATGGAAAAACTATGATTTTTTTTGGGGGGTACCTTATGATTTGATTTAAGCCTATGGATTCCTGGATACGCTAAGGGGATCTTGTTGCTTCGGTTCAACACCATCTTGACCATCCCTGGTCGATTGGAATCAACATAACAACTAGGTCCACACATTGGTCAATGCAGCAACAGCGCTAGAAAAAACCCGCTCCGCTAAACATATGATTACGAACCTGATTCAAGATGTGCGCATAAATGTGCAAAAGAAATATATAACAAGAATATTTGGACTCCCATTCTGGTTGGTCACCCTGTACCACCCTACAGCCTGGATACAAATCCCCTCTGGCCAGTGAGTCAGTGGGTAATCACCTAAGTCCACCGTGTCCCGCAAATTCCCAGTCCGACGGATGCAAGACGGATCCAATGGGGCTTTGCAGCTTTGAATTTCTGTGTTCCCATGTTTTCCCATGTTTTCATGTCCAGACTGATTCATGAACATATACCCTCTGTTAAACTAACACGGCTACGGAAAATCACCATGTTTGACAAATATAGTTCAACTATTTCCATGACCATTTTCTATCATTTTCCATAGCTATGTTAAATTACCAGAGGGTAGCTATGGAAAATTAGCTGTTAATTATCTATAGCTAAACCATCATAAACGAATCTATAAATGGGCCGTTTTCCATAGCTATAAAAAATCCCCAGAGGGTAAGTACAACTGTGTTACAACCAATGACCAATGAAGTCACCTATTCCATTCCAAAACGGTACACTCCGGTGTTCACGGCCATCTAGGCATCCCCAGGCCATGGCAAAAGAAATTCCATAAATTGTGGGATAAACCATGATACCCTCTGGTAAACTAACAGTTTGCTATTGAAAATCGCCATTCATAGTTGGTTTACCCATTCAAAAGGGTGATTTTCCGTAGTTATGCTAGTTTACCAGATGGCAAACCATAAATTGAAAAAAACATAAATGAATCTATCCCCGTGAATGCACCCTCTTCATTTCCATAAATTGTAAAAGGCATCGCTGATGATAGATTCAGCATACAACATGCATCTTGATACGAGGAACTGAGGCTGGAAAGCAACAACTATCTAAAAGTCGTATACGTTAACTTAACCACAGCAACCATAACTAACGATAGTATACGATAGTTACATAACAATTATTTTCAGGATAATTCTTTGAGTCAAGGCATCAAAGCCTGATCTTCCCCAGTCTCCCATCAAGGCAGTTGCTAAGCATCTGGTCCACAGGGAGTAAGCCTCGCCAACCTCGTCAGCGGAACGTACGAGCGTCACAACTGTCCTTTCTGCGATTTATCTACCACTTTTGGAATGGAAAAAGAAACGGAAAACTATCTGGCTGCCAAATTTCGAAAGAACCATCTTTGCCATAATATGCCATAATCCTCATCATCAGCAAGAACATTGAGTTCAAATGAAATCTTACTGTAGATTCCAGGTTGACATCCTCCCGGAACGACCAAAAAAAATTGCACCTTGGATTTCTGGCTCCGTGTCCCACTGCGGGTGGTGCCACGACTTGGCCGAAAACTTCGATGGCTTCGGAGGGATTTGTTCATATTTTTTCCATTCGGAAACATCGGAAAATCATGGGAAAATGCTGGGAAAATCATGGGAAAACCATATGGGTTTCCATGGGTTTCCCATCAGATATTGCTATGGGGGTGAAATCTGTGGATCTTCGGATTTTGTTTATCTCGTCAAAGATGTTTGTGCTCCGTGTCGATTTCACCTGCGAAGGTGTTCTCACCATTGATTTAACATGATTGTTATAACAATATATAACGATACCCTCTGGTAATTTAACATAACTATGGAAAATCATCATTTTTAATGGGAAAATCCACTATAAATGGCCATTTTCAATAGCTATGTTAGTTTACCAGAGGGTAAACGGTGCTATGTTTTCATCAATGTAGTGATAAACTGCCCCCCCCAAAAAAAGAACGCCGCATACCCAAAAGGCACATTGCGAAGCCACATTGCAAACCTCTGCCAAAGAATGAACCCAACACTCTATTAACTCTATTACTGCCATGTTGTGACACGCATTTTCCCCATGCACCGGCAAATCCATTAAGGATGATCCCGATCTATTTACGTATTAAAAATGATGATTTTCTATAACTATGTCAGCCATAACCAGAGGGTAACCCCCTATTTCCCCCCATTAAACCTCCATTTTGGTTGGTTCAACCCCTATTAAGCCCATTTAAGCCCCAACATTTAAAGAACCAGTGGGCCAGTGGGTACCCAGGATGCAACAAGCATTTTGCTGGGCCAAAAACGGCAGATTCTCCAAGCTGCCATGATGGGCACGATCAGCACGCGTCGGTCCCCCACTGCCACCTCCGAGAATTTGGCATAAGAAAATCCGAGAAATGTTGGTTCATTGGAAACCAGGGTTTTTACCATTCAGATCATAGGGGTTTCCTGTAAATTGTCCCAACAAAACCAATCCATTTTTGGTGGATAATTTCGGCCTGTATCCATATTTTTTGCAACCCTACGGTGCTGAACCTTCCCGTTCAAACATGAATATATAGTTTTTAGATGCCAGCCTCTAAAATAAATAGATCAAACAGTTTCCACTAATTCTTGTTTGGGAAGGATTATTCTCGATACCAAAATGCTCCATGTATAAGGCATATTATATAAATACAACATTTCTGCAGGAAGACGACCCAAACGTACGATCATGCGGGTAAACAATAGCCTTTCTAGGTCAACAGTGTGACACTGCGCATCGGCCATAAAGGGAGCTGCCACTACATATCCTCGATGTGGCTGAGTGTACGAATCAAAGGTTGCCAAAAGGAATAAATTGGATTGGATAAATGCCAGATTCCGCTACCTTGAGGAAATTGCCAGCCACAGCCCCCGTCCAAACATTTAAAGAGAACAGGACCAGGGCGGGTGTGGGAAGTACAATCTTCTGCTGGCATTGAATAAATATTGAAAGGTCACCCCCCAAAAAAAATCAGCCGCTTTTACCAAGAGCGAGCGATGGGGCTGGAATTTGATTTTGCCAGGGGTGAGTTCCTCCCTTTCAACCAATGTTGTTTTCATTAATTACTGTAATTGTTTCTGGGGACCTGATCATGCTTGATATATACAGTAACAGTGAAGTGATTCTAGCAAGTGTGTGTTTTGCCGCCAAGAATCACCACTTTCCCCATGTTTGCCAGTGAAATCGTCTCAAAACCACCTCAAAATCCTAAAGAATCAACTCTAATCTCATTTTCTATAATGGTGAAAATAGATATGAAAATTATATGTAAAACAAACATTAAAAATTATCATATTTTCATATTTTCATATATTTTTAATGAAAACATATGATAATATGATAATATGAAAATAGATGATCATCTAAGCCCAGGATTTTTTCTCCATTTTTCGTGGGTTTTTAACAAGGCCTCCGCAGGTGCCGTCTCCACCCCCAGCTGTTGACAAAGCTGAAGGATCGCATGGAAACGGCGCATGGAATCCTGGCGCGACATGGGAAACACATTGGGATTATGGGTTACCCTCTGGTAAACTAACATAGCTATGGAAAATCACCATTTTTCATGGGAATATCCACTATAAATGGCCATTTTCAATAGCTATGTTAAATTACCAGAGGGTAAGACATAGGAAAAGTTAGATATGAATAGATGGAGACTAAATTCAGATTGAATGGCGAACAGCTGTGGGGATGATTGATGGAATATGATGGACATTTAATGGAGATAAAAGAAAGGATATAATGATGATTTGGTGGGAATCCAACCATTTAAAACATAGGGATTGTATGTGCCATGGTCAAGATAAATTATATTTTTTCATGTGCCATGGTTAACCAGCACAGTTGTGGATTATATAAACAACCAATTTATGAGGCAATAATAGGGATATAATGGGCATATAATAGGAATATGATATGGATAATGGGATTAGAAGCAAAAACATAGATAAACATGGTCAAGTTAGATGAATACATAGGTCGTAGTTTCATGGAATGTATATAGCCATCAACAATTTAGCGATGCTAAACATGGGATGCGGGTAAATCATCAAGAATGGGATTAAACATAGGAAGGTATGAGGGTTTTATTGTCCAACATTTGGCTGGTTGGTGGTTGACCTACCCCTCTGAAAAATATGAAAGTCAGTTGGGATGATTATTACCAATATATGGAAGAAAACAAAACATGTTCCAAACCACCAACCAATTGGAATCACCAGGAATATCCGGGTAGCCATGTGTGAAATTGTCAAGTTAGATAGTTACTGGTATGGTCATCCATCCCAAAACAAGAATTAACGTAATGACTATAGAATTCTCAACAAATTCATGACGATTCCCCTATGGGGGTTCACCATGAACATTTGGGCTGCCATGAATGTACGATGGTCAAGTAACATGGGATGAATGTGGTGTATAATAGTCATCATCCCATGTTATGGGAACCCTATCTCAATGTATTGGTTTTGTTGGGAAATTTTACAGGACAGCCCCAGATTTCATGGAAAATTCGATGGTTTCCGGTTAAGATTTTCCCGTGAAAACCAATCCATTGAGAACCCTATCGTACTGGGCATATGAATCCCTATGAAAATCTCTCCCGATGACCATCCCCTAAAAAATAAATAAATAAAAGAGGCACACTCCCACGATTTGACCCCTTTGCACTTTCATGACTTCAAGCCACTTATTAATGCTATATCCCCAGTGAATGATTAAAAGGTACAGTAAATTTAGTAAATACTTGCTTATACCCATTTCTAGTCTGGATGGTTTGATGCAACATGCGGGAATGTTTCATGACGATAGGTGGTTAAGCGGTTTGAAGATGACACGGAAGGGGTAAAGTGCTGCAAAATCATGCTTTTTGCGGATGCGTTACAGTTTGAAGAACATCTCTGATATCATGTCTGAGTATCTTTGACCCCATAGTTTTCCGGTAGTTATAGGTTGTGCTACCCCAGTTATAAGTTGATAACCAACTTCACTATAGAATACTATAGGTATATGACATTATATGACATTATATGACATTATATGACATTATATGACATTATATGACATTATATGACATTATGTGACTAAATATGATTATATATGATTATATATGTATCATAAACCATCATAAACCCCAGTGAACTTGGAGTTATACATCAACTTAGCTAACACACTGAGGCCTATGAACACCCTCGCAAGCCATGTGTTGTTACAACCGCCGTCCTCTTGGGCGTTGCCCCAAAGCCTCAAACGATAGAAAAAGCGTGGAAGAAAATGGATATGATCATCTGATAATGGACAATTCATCACTATTATGATCATCTGACAATTACGGATCATTGTGGATGGAGAATTCGTGTTTGATTTGTGCATACATCGTAATTACATGTAATTACATGATGAATAATTATACATTAATTAAAGGTGCATGATGAGCATCATCAAATGGATGATCTCTGCACGGAAAAATACAGCTGCTGGTCTGGGGAGCTGCACTCATGATTTCCAGGGCAGTAGAAAACCCTTGCATAGCGCGCCTGCGGTCGTGATTCGGTAGTTTTTTTTTGTTCATTTTGGAAGGCGATTGGAAGGCGATTGGAAGGCGATTGGAAGGCGATTGGAAGGCGATTGGAAGGCGATCTGTGGCTATGAAAAGGGGATGAAACGAAATATGGGAACCACTAGCAGGATAGCCACCTCACTAGGTAGCTGAGAACTGACGAGCACTAAGTGCTGTTAGAACATCTTAGAACATGTTAGAACTAGGGCCGTCAGTGAGAGGACGACATGCTGTTGCAATGAAATGTATTGGCATTGCGGCGCCAAACCAGTTTCTCGGGAAATCGGCGGCTGTGCAAACCGCAAGGTTGCATGCTGATACTTAATGCTCAGTCCTTGCCAAAATGCAAGAGCTTCAGAAACAGACCGGTTCCCACATTCTTCCAAGGAAAATCAACACACAAACTCACAAAAACATTCAAAACCCTGTGTCCAAAAAACAGTTGGTACAACGGTACAACCGCGGCAATTTTCAACCGGGATGTCTACACATGTTTGCCCCATGCGCCTTCAAGAAGCTTAATGTATCCTTGATGATGTCCCACTTATGGGAGATATCTCCAGCCACCTCGGCAGTGAGACAAGCCACAAATGGGTTCCGAAATTGTGCGGTTTTGTCGTCATTTTCCGCATCAAAATAACCTTTTTGGGGTGTTCCCCCCCATTTTCGACTCCGAAGCCTGCGGGGTTGCAAGGTACCACTCAGCCTGCTGCACTTCGATCTTACGAAAATCATCTTCAAAACCAAGCCACAATGAGTACATCGTTTGCGGCGCCTTTGGTTTCGAGCTCATCTAGCCACTCCTTCGATCAGGCCGGTGATCATGGCAGTCAGAACCTAAAATCGTTCCCAAAATGGAGAGTAAGTACTTAACAATAATATTTACTTAACAATAATATTTAACAAAATATAGATCAGAACAAAACCCAAAATCTGCGGGTTTGGGGGTCCAAAATTTCGACCAGACCATAGCTGTGTTAGACAAAATCCCACACCCACCAGACAAGCCTGGCCAACCTTGGGTATCCTTAAAAACATGGCGAAATCCATGGCTAAATCGTACTACAGCATGCCAAAGCCGTAATCTGTGGACCAGCCAAACCCAAACAGGTTTGGTTCGAAATAGCTCGAAATATTAGGTATTACGGTAAACAAACAAGAAAATATCTAAGAACTAAAGATGAAAATAAACGATTTTTGAAACATCGGGTGCAGCAAGGATTCTGCACACCTTGGGATTTTTTTTTGTGCCCTCCGGTACTTTCACATAGCTATGGAATGCTATGGAACATGACTCATTTATATAGTTTGGTATAGTTCGATATAGTTCGATGATTTGCCTGTTCAACAAAAGGTGATTTGCAATAGCTATGTTAAAGTACCAGAGGGTACCCTATTTACCCCCATTAAACCTCCATATTTCTGTTGGTTCACCCCCTATTAACCGGTACAGACCACAAAGAAACCCCAAATCTAAAACAACACTGGGATGAAGCCATGCCGTTGTGAGCAATACCATCACACATCATTTTTTTGACATGTCATCCCATTCGTTCATATGAAACATATTAAACACATCCCAGAAACCAGGTTTTTTTTGGAGGGGAGTTACATGACACATATGACACAGAGATTTGGGATCATATGCGGATGTTGAGTATGAACCGGTGGTTTGATGCATAAAAAAATAGGGATCCCGAATGATCACGACAAATCATGGCCCCAGATGACGATGGCGATCGGAGTCCTTGTTGTGGTGGTCATCTGTGTGAAGATCGGAGATTGCCCAAATGCGGACCTGCACTTTGCGGCAAGGAAAGCCCCCATACTTACCCCTACCCCTACCATCCAAGCATACACATTGTGACAGTCACCAAGCATTTGGGTGAGATGTGGAGAAAATGTTGGTTCCAACATGTTTTCAGCGGTTCATAATCACCTAACTGACATGACATTGACAACATTGACACCTTGTCTGCTTCATGTTTTCCGCAAGTTGTCAGTTGTGGGACCCGTCTCCCCAACCGATCTGCTGTATCTCTGTAGGCCGAACCCATCAAGATTGGCGACTGTGATCTGGGATGACTTTTTTCCCCATGAGAATGAAAGCACGAAAGCGCGAAAGCTGCAAAGCGCAAAGGGAGCACCAACAAACTCACAAAATTACGTATTAACAATTCTGGTTGGTGGTTTCAACCCCTCTGAAAAAAATTAGTCAGTTGGGGTTACTATTCCCAACATATGGAAAAAAATCATGTTCCAAACCACCAACCAGAATAGTGTCCCTCTCAGTCGTTGAAGATGTTGGAGATTCCAAGTTGTGCAGGGTAGCATAGCGACTGTGATCTCGGATGGCTGAGTCCCTGGCGACCTTGGTATGGTTGTTCTTTATGTGGGGCTTGACCTGTCGGACCCACAGGGACACACAAGTGACTACGATTTCTGGTCTGCGGTCACAAGGCATGCAATGGTTGCGAGACACCCAAATCAATTTAGATATATTTAGATAGCTTCAGTGAGGACCTATTTTTGGATAGCCTACGTAGGGGCCAAACCATCAACAAACTTTTAGTCTCTTGCATTTGAATATGACTGAGCTAGTTCGCCCATTCGCATGGGCAAATCATATGTTTTGACCCATTCCCATGTTTCAATATCGTGCTGGCCCGTTGCTTGAGGGTCTTGAGGTTTTACCATCGGGTAAATCAGGTAAATCTGCACTACCTCCCTGACACTGAAATATCACAATGTTCGCCATCTATTCACATTTTGTTCGGCTATAAACGGGGCAATTTCCATTGTCAAGTTCAATGGGCACATGTTCAACCCCAAAGTTAGGATTGAAATTTGGGTTTGTCATGTTTGAAAGGCAAAATGCCCCGGTCCACCCACTGGTGAACTGCAATATATTGCAATTGTGGTGTCATATTGTGGTTCATATTGTGTCAAGACATGTCAAGACATGTCTCCCTCCATGGAATTATAGCACCCATTTTGTTGATTCAGCCTTGGCCCGCACTACAGCCGGCGCTTCACAAACCTGTCATGCAACGGCGTGACGTGGTGATGGCAATGGGAAACCAGGATAGATGATGATAGATGTTGTTTTTCTTGGTTGATGTTTAAACCCAGCTAACTAGATTTAGGGATTACAAAAAAAAAAACATAACTCAGTTATAAACCAACTTAGCTAAGCACGGGGAATCGCCTTGTTGGGGTGCCCTTTTTTAAAAGAAAGGCATGTCAATGGGAACAACCAGTGGTTTAGCTTGTAAACACACTATTTCACCAATGGCTGCATTTAGCTTGCGTTGTTGAACAATGTTGCAACAACGATCAATCTACAATGCTTATTTGGTGGAACTGTTGTTCCTGTTGCAACAGTTGCGAGCTGAATCACCCCAGCCCACACGACAGCATTGAGCCTTGGCTTCGATGGCTCGTTCCAAATCATCAAAGTCAAACATCACCTGGCGACCGCAGCGACGGTCGTGACGTTTAGACGACTCGGAAGCCGGCCAGTCCTTTCTTCGTAAGAAAAGTATGGCACATGGCAATCATAGATGCTGATTGTATATATTAAATTAAAAAGATGTACAGTATATCATATACTATACACATACATGTTTTAGATGACTTTAGATGTATATACTATTATTAAACTATTGTTTTATTATTGTTGTTATTATTATTACATATTATTAATTACTATCATTATCATTACTGTATTATATTATAGTAACCGGCTAGCACATAGAATATTAAAAATTTTAACGTACCACTAAGAATATGGAAATTACATAGCAAAACCATAATTTGGAATGTCATCCACATAGAATATTTATCCACATAGAATATGGGCGTATAAATATAATATAGAGGTATATATATAATATATATATATATTATCCAAATCTCAAGACTCTCCAAGCAAATCGTTGATCAGTGCTCTTTTTCCCCTTTCATGCACGCTCGGGATTAGTCTTTGTGCTCCGGCTCTGCTGCTCGTGCAGTTTGAACCTTTTGAAGCTGAAGTTTTGCCAATCTATCCTTGGGGTGAAGCTCCAAGTGACCCTGCAACATGAGCTCAATCACCCTGAGTAATGCCTGCTTTGCAGTGCGACCACTTGATGGTCCAAAAGATCTACCATGATGGGAAGACCCTCCACCGTAAGATCGCCACACCATGTTTCCTGGATGAATACCTAAACTACATCCTTCAGGCCTGACAGTCAACCCCGCCGCTTTGAGTTCCTGATATTCTGGTCGGTGCTCAAGTGCTGCATTGCGTGATTTCTTGCCATTCTCGTCCTCTTTGGGTTCTGCTGTCTTGTCATCATGCTCGTCCTCTTGCTCTGAGTCTGAGTCTTTGACAAAGAGAAACCCACTGTGTAGCTCTGAATCCAGTTCATCACCGGAAAAGTCGCCGTACTCAATTGGTTCACCATGCTCCATTTCGATCTGCTTGTCCTCTTCCAAGTCGAGAGTATGCACCGCATCATGCTCCACACCAAGTCCTGCGTACACAATTTTGATGCACATAGAATATAATTCAATACACACACACACACACGTGTATATATATATATAATATACATATACGTTAATACATATTCAAACCAAACAAATCCTACCACAGTATTTGTTTGTGTATGCACCGCATTATGTTCCATGTCAAGTCCTGTGTGCACCAGCTTGATGCACATAGAATATAGTTCAATACACACTGTTGATGTGGTGTATGTGTTGGAAAAAAACAACTCCCGACACAAACCAACAACACAGATCCTGAAAAGTGATCCACATCATCTGGTACTTCAACTTGAGGAATAGCTTCACCCTCCAAGAGATGAAGAGACCACTGTTTTCCGTTGCCCGACTTAACCCAAAGGTCAGCTGGATCCAACGAAGGATGAATCACCAGCATCAGGCATGTTTTTTTCAACTGTGCTTGAGACTTTTTTCCTGGTTGCATCACCTGTGCCTTCCTTGCTTTGTCTAGGACAAGTACCCTTGTTGGATTGGACACCCATTGCTGATATGCTTCGTTCATTTTGGGAGCCAACGAACCAAAACCATTTGCTTTACGTTTGGCTATACGTTCCTCCCAAACAGAAAGTTCTCGTTTCCACGTCAACAGAACATTGTCAATTGGAAGCTGAAACCACGATGGTAGTGCAATTGGCTCAGCTGTTGGGTTTTCGTAATCGTTGATTGCCCAGAACTGATGCAACTCCCCCTTCAAAGTTGTGGTTTCAGCTGCAGCAACGATATCTTCTTCACCAGTAGGTTCAACAGAAGGAATTTCATCCAAACTATACAAAGTTGCCATTGCACCCCTTGTTTGTTCAAAAGATGCCTTTGCTGCTTCCATGTTGCCATCATGATGCCATTCAGCTATTTGCTCCATGCTGGTCAAACCGCGGCTGACCCATGCCCATTGAATCAGCTTCCCACCTTGATAGTTTTTGAGGGATTGAAGAGCGAATGCATCGGCTCTCAAACTCCCTTCGGTAGTCAACCTGGGTGTAGTGCGAAATGCTTGGACAGTCACTGCTTATTTGATATTGTGAATAGATTTTCTCTTTCATATTCTAAGTGCATCTCAAAATCATCTTTTACAATCATAAACTAATGAAAATTAGCTCGGCTCTCAAATTCCCCCGGTGGTCAACCTGGATGTAGTGCAAAATGTTCGGACAGTCACTGCTTATTTGATACCGTGGGTATGTCTTTTCTTTCATATTCTATGTGCATCCCAAAATAATATTTTACAAACAGAAACTAATGAAAATTAGGTAAACCAAACAATCTGCACATGCAACTCAAACCGCGGATTGCCATCCACACTGATCGACATCTCAGCCAAAGTTGATCGTAGAGTTTTCCCCATGCCCACCGTGATCCGTTGCGCCGCGCGTCTCAATCCATGATACCACTGATGGAAACCATCACAAGGTCCACCACAAGCTCCCCAGCCTGATGAACATGTTATATATGTTGAATTTCTGAACATTTTCTTTTTCACTATATATATATATGGAACCAATATATCAATAGTACACACCTGAATCTTTTGATATATGTATATGTGTCTGTATACACAAACTTCTACAACAAACAAAAATAGCTTTCAAACTTGTATTTGCCTCCTGGGATTGCAACATATTGGTAGGAAGCACCGTGAAGCAGAATGCAGTTGTGAGCACGTTGAAACCGATCTCTAAGCTTTTCGAAAGTGCTGCTTTGATGAACCGTTGCTTTGTCCATGAGTATCAACGCTTTTGAAGATGCATCGAGTCCGTGTTTCATCCTTTTTGCACGTAGTTCGCTCCCCAAAAATTCAAGGTATTCACCCAAAGTTGCAGCATTCCAGTAGTGAGTGGACCCTGAGTGACGAGTTGAGATGTGTAACACATGGCCCAATTCTCGATTCATTGCGTCTATCGTCTTTTCTGACCTTGCAAAGCGACTTTGGTTTCCATGGTGAATAAAGTTCAAATATATGCAAAAACAATGCACATAGAATATTTTGGTCTATATGACCTGGCAACCAGAAACAATATATATATAAGTAACCATACATATGTATATTCCTTTCAAGCTGATTTATGTATATATGTATATTCTTTTGATAAGTTTTGTATGTACCATATGTATTATATATTAGTAATAGGAACGAAAAACAATAAGAAACAACTGAGTTTTGTACGCTGTTCCGGGTGCCATAGTAACAAAAGCTCTACCCAAATCACCATCGGCCCAACTTAACGTCGTCGTAGTTCTTGGTACGCGAGCGTAGTCCACCGGGTTCAAATTTCCAGCGGCGTTGAGTCTGACTGGTTGGCAAACATCTTTTTTTGTTGAACCAGTATCACATTCAAGAGAAAGTGCTTTCCTGATACTGTTCAATGCTTTGGTGACTGAAGGTGTATTGTTCTTTTCAAAGAATGAACCACGTTTACTTTCATGTTTGTACAGGACACGACGAGCTCCTTCATACTGCATTGTCCACACCTGGTCAAAGTTTGCAACCAGTCTACCATCTATCCGATGTTGCTCCACACACAAGGTTACAAAGGCCCTCACATTGGCAACCATGGGATGATCGTAGTCCAAGTGTTTTGATTGTTTGGTCACCGAACTTGTTCGGATCCCCAATCGGTTGCAAACTCGAGATGCACAAGACCTGGGCAGTCGAGATGATCATTGTCGTGATGGTGTAAACCATGTGAGTGTGCACACAAAACGATGCACTTAGAATATTGTTCTCGACAATATATATATATATGTGTGTGTATGTAAGCCCATATATATAATTAAATATACATATATATTCATTCATCCATTGTTTCTTTTTTCCAAAAAAACATAGTTGCAAATCATCAGGCAAGGTTCCCCAGTGCAGTAGGTTGGGTGCTGATGTTGCAGGGCTGGAGTGTCTCTAACAACTTGCTCAATGCTGTCATTTCATCATCCTTTGCCATTCGCGCAACATCATCTCCAACATCTTCAGACTCAGCGATTGCGTTTTGTGCTTGCAAGATTTTCTTTTGTACTGTTTCCTGAACATCGGCCTGCAACTCTTCAATCTTTTCATTCCAAAGTTTCACCAAAAGTTTCAATGTTGATTCAACGAAATCGTAAGAAACTTCTTCGCCAGCCGCTAATCTGTCCATGATGATCGTATCCAGTGCTAGGGCTAGGCTTGGTGGTATCACGTGCAGCCCATCACTTTTGCTGAATTTCCCTCCATTCCACTTCTTTGTGGTAATGTTCAGAACATCACGCAGTGAGTTAGGAACTTCAGAATGCTTTTTTGCAATCTTTGGAGCGTATTTGACCAACAAATCCCAGTTTTGTTTTTTTCGATGTCCTCCCCAATGACTGTCCGTGAAACACCCCTGATATGCACCTTTCCTTCTGGCAGTAGAGAGGAAATGCTTCTCTTTGTACTTCACCGATGGATCTGCGCAAACACTCTCATACTCCTGAGATGGGATGGTAAATATGTCTCTATGCCATTCCATATTCTAAGTGCATCTCAAATCACCTCTACAGAAAGAAAAATCATATATATATATATACATGGCTCCATGTTCCGTATTCCTGCCCCACCAAATGGTATAGATTACCATGTAGCACCCGGTACCATTATGTGTTGCAAGCTATTTGCAGCATTTCCAATGTTCAGCATCGTATATGCAAGCTATTTGCAACATTTCTGATGTTCATCTTCGACCTTCCATCTTCCACCTTCCACCCGACCCTTCCCACCCAACCACTCACTATGCCATTCCATATTCTAAGTGCATCCTAAATCACCTCTACAAAAAGAGAAATCATAAATATATATATATATATGGTTCCATGCTCCGTATTCCTACCCCACCATATGGTATAAATTGCCATGTAGCACCCGATGCCATTCTGTTTAGCAAGCTATTTGCAACATTTCTGAGGTCCATCTTCGACCTTCCATCTTCCACCTTCCACCCCACCCTTCCCACCCAACCACCCCATCCCATCACAAAGGTGATGGGTTCAATACTATTGTTGGCTCATACACATTAACACAGCATGGAAAATAGGTTGGAAAGCTATATCTACATCATAAGGGTGACATATGTTATATATATATATATATATACATATACAATATATATATATATATATGCATGTATATTGGCAGTCGAGTTTCTTCAAACAACTTCATCTTGTCCCAAATGCTGATCACAGATTGTTTCCCATCTCGTGCAGTCTTCGCCTTCTCAGAATCATTTCCTTTTTTTCCTGGTGGATCTTGGTTGGAAGCAGTGACAATAGCCTCACAATCTTGAGGTGCTTGTTTTTTTGGACGTCCTGGTCCTTTCTTTCTATTGGATTCTCGTAATGACATCAAATCTTTGATATGTTGAGGTACTATCATCGCATCTGACTGCTTTGTTTTCCCTACACATCTGCGTTTGGGAGGTGGCAATGGCACCAAGGCTTCCTCTGATGAACTGATGCGTTTTGACAGTTGTGATGAGGCTACTATCGATTCACTTGATAGACTGATGCGTTTCTGTGGTCGGGATGATGCTGATGCTTCTGCTGGTGGACTGCTGTAAACACTTTCATCTCGTACATCATCATCATCAGAGCTACTCTTACGCTTGATACCCCGTTCACTCGATGATGCTGTAGACAAAGTCCCTTTAGCATCTGGTGTTTCGAAGAAATCAGGTTGAGAGCTTGAGTCATTTGGAGTAGTACCACTTTCGAAACCAGTTTGCAGAGCGTTTGTAGCGTTTCCATGTGATCCTGCGAGATTGATCCATCCCTGACCATGTACCAGAGACGCGATGATTTTGGCCTGCATACATGTAGAAGCGAAAGCGTTACCAGCAAGGTCTTGTGCTTTTGAAGCTTGTTCCCACGTGCTTTGAACTGCCTCTTGGTTCTCAAAGTTGCATTTGAACAGTCCTTGTGCTGCCCACATCTCTTGTATGGTCACAAAACGTTGAAGCTGATTGCTGTAAATTTTGTGCGTAGGTCGCACACATGTAAGGACATTGGTTGCACTTTCACACTCTCTTGTTGACGAAGTTGACGTGTCTAGGAACACATTTTGGCAGTTTGCTTGTAAACATGCTTTTTCCAAAGCTTCCTGCAGTTTGTCATATTGTCGCCCCTCCAGCTGCTGATGTGGCAAAGTAGTGTCAAACACAGAATCAAACGGTAACAACACATCAGAAGCCATAGACTCCATGGTTGCTTTCATTTTTTGCGCAAAGGATTGGGAACATTGACCAGCATTGATGTCCGCTAATGCATACACCCGATTCCGTCTTTGAGGTAAGAGGTAGTCTTGTGCATCAATTTTGGAATGTTCAACAACATAGCCAAGTTCTCCCAGGTCTTTGGTCATGACCTGCAGGGAGAGGAAGGGAATATGACCATATTCTATGTGCATTAAAAACAATCCCTTTTATACATAAATATCTACAAAATAACAGATATCGAATGATAGAGAGATAAAGAGATACAGAATACAGACAAAAAATACAATACCTTCCTACTTTAGCTACACACATAAGACCGAAGAAATCATAGCACCATTTTCATATCTTGATTATTCCCCAATATCCATTCACATATTCTATGTGCATTAAGAACATTCCCTTTTGTATTTATAAGCATATAGATAAATACTATATATATATACCACTGTAATACAACATCTGAAGCCTGAATTTGATATGAATCTGAATCCCGTGGCCTCCATGGGGGATGGTTTCTTGTTCACTGCAAACATCACTCCCAATACGTTCTCGAAGAACAAAAGTGCAGGATTTGTAGAAGAAACAGCACCTTTTACTCCATGTTGGTATGTGTAGCCACTACTTCCTTCACCCGTACTGTAGCAGTGCTTGTAGGAAGACCGGTCGGCATTCTCCAAACTGATGCTTTTGCATGATGGACCAACAAATAGGATATCAACTTCAGCTGGCGCATTGTGGACACAACCACAGGTATCGCAATACCCTTTGCCATCTGCAAAAATACGAACATCGCTGAAAAGATGAAATGTTGGTTTTTCACCCTTGGCAGTGTGAGCATCAGCAATGAACTTCCTCTTGTAAGGTTCAATCTCAACGCTAAACTCATGACGCAGTTGAATATTTACCTGGAGATTTGAATATGGATCTCAAATAGCAACATGTGGAAAACATAAAGTTATACAACAAAGCTGTACATTCAAAAGAAAATCATGTTTGTATATATTTATACAGCTATGTATTGAAATAGTCGTTTATTTTACTACATGAAGGGAACTATATACATATTTATATATAAACCACTATGTTTTGGTAGGTTTTCCTTGAATTTAATCTTCTAAAAACATATATATGTAAAATCAGAAGCTCCACCGAGTTGCGTCGAAGAGCTGACCAAGAATTTGGAAGGTGCTTTTCATAACGCACACGCAAACATCAGTTCCTGAACATGTAGATCCCATAGTCACTGTGTGTCCATCGAGTTGTCGGAGTCTCTCACCAAGAATGTTCCTATCTTCTTCAGATAGTCTGTCAACGAAGTACTTGCATGTTTCACGTAGGTCAGGCTCAGGCACCTCTCTTTCGACAAAGGACTTCAACTTTGCAATGTTGACCCACGTGGCTTTGCCTCTACTACTGGGACCCTGTAGTGGTTGTTTCAGCTCAACGATATCCTCCAAAATCCATTGGTAAAGAGGCTTCTTGTTGTGCACAATTCGCTTGCGCCATGCTAACTTTTGTTCTTCAGAAGCAGTTTTAAATTCAGTGCATGTTCTAAGATCTGCAAAGTTGTTGATGATCTTGATCGTAACAAGCGTTGCTGTGCCAACGAGTTTGCCTTGCTGCCCACATTCCATGATGCCAATTGTAGAGTTGTCCTGCAGCTTGTGTTTCCAGTTGCATATCAAATGTCTTTGCTTGCAGGAAGAGGATTGTATCAAGCTTTGCCAAGTCTCTTCGTACAGCTTTAGCACAAAGCTTTCTGTTCCAGTTGAAACTGAACTTTCATCTTCAGATTCATTTTTCTTCTGGCTGTTGTTTG